TGCTCTTATGAACAAATCATCACTATACTGAAGAAACGTTTTTCCCCAAAACCACTCATTATCGCAGAAAGATTCAGATTCCACAAGCGAAATCAGGAGGAGGGAGAGTCAATGTCACAGTTCGTAGCAGTTGTCAGAACATTGTGAGTTTGGACGAACTTTGAATGACACCATTAGAGACAGATTGGTGTGTGGGTTGCTTTAGCGAGACAATTCAAAAACGTTTGCTGACTGAGAGCAACTTAACACTGGAAAGAGCAATCGAAGTGAGCACATCCATGGAGATGGCAGCCAAAGAAGCACAACACCTAAGTGCGTCGTCCCAAATACACAGAGTACAAACGGAAAAACAAAAGCCGAAACTAAATAAACCATGTTACCGTTGTGGAAAAAGTGGCCATCAAGCACAAGAATGCTGGTGTAAGGACATGGACTGTAGAAGTTGTGGGTTAAGAGGTCACATTGAACGTGCCTGTAAGAATGAAAAGCCAAATCCAAACAAAACTACAGTGAACAGAAAAACACGGTTCAGAAAACCGAAAAAGAAGCAGGTGAATCAAGTGGAACACATGTCTGACAAACAAAGTGGTGAATCTGATGAGGAATATCTTCATGTGATGTCACTATCAAGTAACACAGAAGGCTACTGGGTGACACCATTGCTGGAGGGAAAACCAGTTCAGATGCAAGTGGACACTGGTGCTGCAGTGTCACTCATATCAGAAATGGTTCACCAAGAGCAGCTTAAGCATCTGAAGCTAAAACCTGCAAAACTGACCCTGAAAACATGCACAGGTGAGACAGTACCAGTGAAAGGAGTTCTGGATGTGATGGTGGAGCTCAACAAACAAAAGATTAAGCTGCCACTATACATTGTGGAAGGTCAGTTTCCAGCTTTGTTAGGACGCACATGGCTTGAAAAGATCAAACTGAACTGGCGAGAAGTGCACATGATTGCAAAAGATGGAGCTACCCTTTCAAGCATTTAAAAAAAAAAACATGCTAAAGTGTTCACAAATGAACTGGGTAGTATGAAGGATGTTACTGTGAAACTCAGTGTAAAGCCAGACAGTGAGCCAAAATTTTTTAAGGCTAGATCAGTGCCAATATGCCATCAAACCCAAGGTTTAAGCAGAGTTGAACCGCCTTGTTGAAGCTGGAGTACTACGACCAGTAAGTGTGAGTGATTGGGCTACACCAGTCGTTCCAGTCATAAAGAAGATGGCTCGATTAGACTATGTGGTGATTTTAAAGTCACAGTGAATCCAGTCTTAGCCACTGAAAGATATCCACTGCCACTGATTGATGACTTGTTCTCAGGCCTTTCTGGAGGACAGAAATTCAGCAAGATAGACCTGTGTCAGGGCTATTTACAGATGCACGTTTGACCCAGACTCACAAGAACTGCTAACGATTGTGACGCACAAGGGATTATACACGTACCAGCGTCTGACGTTCAAGATTTCCTCAGCGCCTGCCTTATTTCAGCATGCTATGGATCAAAAACTGAGTGGGCCGACAGGGGTACAGTGCTATCTGGATGATCTGTTGATTACAGGCGAGGATGACAGCGACCATCTTAGAAATCTGGATGCTATTCTTTAGAGGCTAGAAGAGTATGGCCTTCGTGTCAGGAAGGATAAATGTGAATTTTTCCGTCCTTCAGTAGAGTACCTTGGTCATGTCATTGACAGCGCAGGTCTCCACAAATCACCGTCGAAAGTAAAAGCCGTACTGGACGCACCTTCGCCACAAAATGTGAGCCAACTGAGATCCTTTTTAGGACTGCTGATGTACTACTCAAAGTTCATACCCAACTTGGCAAACAAATTACGACCACTGCATGAGTTGTTAGTCAAGTCAAGACCTTGGAAATGGACTCACAGATGCGAGAAGGCTTTCAATGACGCAAAAGTAGCCCTAACACAGTCTGAGGCTCTAACGCATATCAACCCTTCTCTGCCAATCCAGCTAGCATGCGACGCATCGCCTTATGGATTGGGTGCAGTAATATCGCACATCCTACCGTCTGGTGAAGAAAGACCAATTGCTTTTGCATCGAGAACCTTGAGTAAAGCTGAAAGCAATTACGCACAGATTGAGCGTGAAGCACTAGCGATTGAATTTGGTGTGAAGAAATTTCACCAATTTCTTTTTGGAAGGAAATTTTTGCTGCTAACAGACCATCGACCACTTGTTGCTATTTTTGGTAGTCAAGCTGGTATTCCTTCACTTGCAGCCAGCCGCATGCAGCGATGGGCTTTAGTATTGTCTGCTTATCAGTTCGACATAAAATACAGACGGTCTGAACAACATTGTAACACAGATGGACTTTCAAGGCTTCCCCTTCCAGTCAAGCATGTAGAACACCAACAGGCTGAAATCTTCTACTTCAGAGAAGTGGCTGATGCGCCAGTAACCTCCACGCAAGTACGACAGTTCACAAGAACCAACCCTGTTCTGTCTGAGGTGTTGTATATTGTAACGTGTGGTAGGAGAGGAGAAATGACAGAAAGTCTAAAGCCTTACTTGGTGAGGAGGAATGAGCTGACGGTCCAATCTGGTTGTTTGCTGTGGGGACACAGAGTTGTCATACCGCTACGTCTGAGGAGCCAGATTTTAGAAGAGCTGCACTCAGGACATTGTGGTGTCGTAAGAATGAAGGAGATTGCCCGTAGTTACTTCTGGTGGCCAGGGTTAGATGCAGCTATTGAGAAGAAAGCCAAGGCTTGTTCATCTTGTCAGAAACACAGAAACATGCCACAAGTAGTGCCTCTACACCCATGGGAATTTCCAGACGAGCCATGGCAAAGAATTCATGTAGACTTCACTGGTCCTTTTGAAGATCACATGTTTCTTGTGGCCATAGATGCTCATAGTAAATGGCCAGAGGTGGCAATCATGAAGAGTACGTCATTTGAGCGAACTGTTGAAGAGCTTAGATCCATTTTCAGTCACTTCGGGTTGCCAGAACAACTTGTTAGTGATAATGGACCGCAATTTGTATCAGCAGAATTCTAATCATTCCTGAAAACAAATGGAATCAAGCACCTTCGATCAGCACCATATCACCCAGCAACAAACAGGTTAGCTGAAAGATTTGTACAGACAATGAAACAAGCTCTACGTTCGTCTCTGGGTAATGGATCTCTGAACCGACGACTGAATTCATTTCTGCTGACGTACAGAAATACACCTCACGCTACCACCAAGGTCACCCCTGCCTTCGCCATGATGAAGTGACAACTTCGTACCAGGTTAGACCTTCTGAAACCCCCAAGAACCAAGAAAACTGTACAATCTCAGCAAAGAGCTCAGATGGAAAGACAAGCAAAAGCTAAGCAGAGAAAATTCTGTACAGGTGAAAATGTCCTAGCACGGAACTACAGCAAGGGTGAGAAATGGGTTCCAGCTATTGTAGTAGCACAGACTGGCCCAGTCTCATATACTGTCCAAACAAAGAGTGATGAGATTTGGAGAAGACATGTTGACCAGTAATTGTCCTCAACATATACCAGTGATGAGCCTGACCAGGTGGAAACTCAAGATTATGTTCCAGATATTGGCAGTCAGGAACCAACTCCAGAAGATTCCCCACCTGAACTTCAGGAAGAACCAAACACGTCAGGCTCATGTCCATCTTCACCGATTTCCGGACCACATGCTACTCCAAGTTCGCTGGCAAGGCCAACACCTGAGCCCACAGGTCGTCGTTACCCCTCAAGAATGGGACGACCCCCTAACAGACTGAATATGTAGCCTAGAGGCTATCCCATGTTTTGGGGCAGAATAATCCCCCGGGGTTTAGCCGGGAAAAGAGGCAGTCTACCCTCTTTCCCTAGTGCAAAAAAAAAACATTGTGTTACTGTTATGTTGTTAATATTGTTACGAGAACCTGCATAACTGATAGAAATGGACTATATCCAGTTAAGAGCTAAGTGTTAGCATTGGTGGACTTTCAAAGTAAGGGGGGAGGAATATGTTATGTATTGGTAATGTGTTTTGGATGCTTGGTGCACCATACTGTTTTCTGTGCCCACCTGGGTATTGTAGTCCAGAGAAGTAAACAAGAACGCAAGCTGCAAAACTACTCCGCTCTGCCTCCGTCTCTTCCTTTGAGGTTGTGCGTGATACTTTCACGACGACACAACAGAGCTGGAGTTAAAGAATCATCTCTTTTGGAGTTGACTCTCCATCACTACTGGGTGCACCTCCAAAGTATAACCTGTGTAAGGGTACACTGACTGTAAGTTAGTCTAAACACACACTATAATGCTGCTCTTCTGTTTTAGTCATATTTTTAATGATTTGTTTTGTAAAGAATGAGCACTATTTTACTACCATGCCTGTAAAATAGTGGTGTACCTGTTCTCAGGTAGTTTGTTTTTGTTCATTCATTTATTTATTCTATTTATGTTCACTTCAATCATGGTGTCCCTGATCTGGCACTTCACTGCCATGTATATCATTTGCTGGGGGCTTCAGATTGTTTTGAAATAATGGTTCAAAATGCATAAAAAGTAAATAAACAGTAAATTTCGTTGCTGTAAATGTGATTTGTGTCTGGTTAACATCTTAATACCATAAAGTTCCTTTTGGTGAAATTGTAAGGAGAACAAAACAATCACTTTTTTATATGGTTTGTAGGACAATTGTTTGACATTAAGGACCACACTAGCAACAAATTAGGAAGCATTTATTTTATTAATGGAAACTTAAAAATCATCCAATACTGTGACACTCTGATGTATATTGTGATCTTGTTTTCCATTAATCCTGCCCAGCACTGCAAGAAGTAACGTTGCTATGCCAGCCTACATCATATCCAGCTGCAGTCTTGTAAATGACTTTGTAACTACCACAGAATCTAAACAAGAAAGGTTTGTTCACAAGCTGATTAGTTCATTTTTTGTTCCCTACAGCAGGTCTGTGTTATTGCAATGTAAATTTAGATTGACCATGTTTATATTCATGAGTGGTTTTCTTTCGTGTGTTTGCAGGAGAGCGGCCGTTTAAGTGCACCCACTGCGGAAAAGCGTTTAACCAGAAGGTGGTGCTGCAGACCCACATGGTGCGACATACCGGAGAGAAACCACATCTGTGCATGCTCTGCCCTGCGTCCTTCTCACAAAAAGGAAACCTGCACTCACACGTCCAGAGAGTACACTCTGAGGTGACCACACCATTAACATTTCGCCAGGGTAATATTTAAGGGGGAATTCCACAGATTTTTCAAAGTTTCTGCATAATTAAATGGTAAGGTTAAACAGAGCTATTCAGAGTGGTTTGATGTGAAATGCTACTTTCTAGAGAAACATGACGAGTTACAAACTAGACATCTGAAGAGTTTAATGCATCTAAAAGCTCCCTTAAAGCAACTTATTGCAAGAAATGATAATGAATACACCTAATGCCTAATTGTTTTCTGTTAGTTTTGAGATAAGCTTCTAGTTTAAAACAAGTATTTTTTAAAATCCATTCATGGTGGGGAGGTCCACACAGGGCATTCTAAGGTCCCTTTCGTTTGAACGCATATAGAGATTCACAGGGTAAAATACATGGAGTACAGCTTATGTGGCCTGGGTAAAATAAGGGATTATGTAGACATATAGCTCAGTTAACTTACCCTTAATATGGGGGCTTTATGTGTACACTTACATTACATGTGCAGGAATAAAACTTTACCTTAAGCAGACTGAGCATAATATTTAGCTTTAGGCTAAAACAAACTTTAGTTTTTGAACACATCCCTGCTGAAAAAACCCATGAAAACCATTAAGGTTTCTGATGGTTTTGTAATGTGTTTTGGCTTTTGGTTAAACCGATTACCAGCGGTTGATTCATATAGTGGCAATGATATCCCTTCCTGAATGGCAATATGCATGGCGACACATACAACCAGCACAGACCGTTCTCATTTAATGTCTGAACTTTGCTTTTTTAACTTTACACTGCAGCTACGATGCTTACGTAGAAACTCCTACTTAAGCTTGTTATTATTTTATAATAATTATACCCCACCAATACTCATTTTTTGTTTGTCACTGACTCTTGCACAAAGTTGTGTTTTTGTCAAAAACAATTAATGTAAAGAAAAGGAGGAGAGTAAAAAGTAAACAAGACACATCTTTCTCTTTCTTTCTTTCTTTCTTTCTTTCTTTCTTTCTCTCTCTCTCTCTCTGTCTCACACACACACACATACACACATTCACTCTATTTAGTATTCTGTTACAACATTGCATTGAGCAGAAGGTCAGCAGTAATGTGTTTATATTGGTGGGAGAGGGTTAGAGGTCAGGGGTCGTAGCCCACTCTAATGCGTCACATGACGCACATCCACCATCAGATTGAGCCACACAGCCAAAGTTCACAGATTCATTAATGCTCCACCCCTGCTCATTCAGCAACATGACTTGCCTTAATGTGTGCCCTCCCATGACCGGCACTGCCACAGCACTGCTAATGGGATGGGGGAGGCAATGGGGAAGAGAGAGACAGAGAGAGCGAGTGAGTACGAAAAGAGACAGAAAGAGAGAAACAGAGAAAGATGCGATAGAGAGAGATGGGAAGTAGTGAGGAGGGAGCAGGGGGAGGAGGAGGGAGAGAGAGACAGAGCGAGACACATTGAGAAAAGGGAGTAAGAAAAGAAAGACAAAAATAGAGAGAGGAATGAGAGAGTGGGTATAGAAAGTGAGTGAGAGAAAGAGAAATAGGAGAAGAAATGGGAAGAGAGAGAAACGGGGTGGGGGGCAGAGTGAGTGAGAGTGAGACAGACAGGCAGATAGAGACAGAGAAAGATGGGGACAGAAAGACAGGGAGTAGTGGGAACAGAGAGGGAAGAGCTAGAGAGAGAAAAAGAATTTGGAAGAGAGAGGCAATAGAATGTCCAGTAACCCTGAATGTTACTGCCCTGGTGTAGAATAAAAAAAGTTTCAGAGTAGAAAATTACACAAATGTGAATTGGCTGGCTCTGTGTAGCAGCTTAGATCGTGCTTTCAAGCGAACATTGTGGTTGGTTCAGTTCAGCAATAGTTGACATCAACTTTAATGGTATTTAAAGGAGTCTGCTGTCCCATTTCTCCAGTTTTTGCTCGTTCTCTCCATTCTTCTTGCTTCTTTCCTCTCCTCGATTCCTCTGCGTTCTCCTGGAGTAGGACAGGAGCAGTAAGAAGGGAAATGGAGGACAGGAGCAGTAGCAAAAGTTTCGGAATGCAGCCAGTGGAGACAGAAAGAAAGAGATGGAGACATAAAGAGGTGGGGAGAGAGAGAAAAGAGAGAGATAAAGGAAACAGATAGGAAGAGCGAGTGAGTAAGAAAAGAGACAGAAAAAGAAGTGGGGAGAGATGGGAGTAGCGAGGAGAAAGAGAAACAGATGAGAGAGAGACAGAAAGAGAGAGAGAGAATATCACTGTAGAAACTAACAGCTGCTCAGAGAGTGCAAGATGTTTCGCTTTGGGCCCAGAGCGATGCAGCAGAAGAATAAAGCAGGGGTTAGATAATGCCTGTGGGTGTAGTTCTGCTAGTTTCCCACCAGCCACCTGTGTTTGTTGTTTTTATACTGTTAGCTTTATTTGCACAGCACCTGTTTTGTTTGTAGCATCGCACTCAGGGTGGTAGGCTTATGTTGAACTGTTATGTCTTACTGCTGCACAAGCTAAGGCATTAATTTCTCTTTTGATCGTACCGTTATCAGCATTGAGTGTTGGTAACCTCAGTGCTAGCTAGCTAGCTAATGGGACTGTCAACATAAAATTCTAATTTGAATATTTTTTGAATTTATTGAAAAAAATGCACATTATCATGCACAAAATGTCCATTAGAAAGTTGAAATATAATGTCCTGCAGTGGCTCCTTGCATGTTTCAGGTCAGTTAGTCACACATGATGACTAACCAAATGCACAGAGAAACACGCATCAGTAAACGATAACAAAAGTATTGTGGACGTAATCCCTTTCTTTATATCCCTTTGCTGACCTATTTGTACCTACAGCTGGTATTGAATCTCCTGTTCATATCCTGAGTGTGATAGAATTAGCAATATGACTGCCATCTGAACAAAGTGATGGACAAATATACAATTTTAGCTGCTTTGAGGTTTTATATATATATATATGTATGTGTGTGTATGTATATATATATATATATATATATATATGTATGTGTGTGTATGTATATGTATATGTGTGTGTATATATATATATGTGTGTGTGTGTGTGTATATATAAACTAAACAAATTCATTGTCTTTAAACTGTTCTTTGTTTTGTTGTTGGGACATTCAAATACTATTCTTTTTTAAATATGATGCTCTATTTGAATATCATTCAAATACTACTCTTCATTTTCTCTTTGGGACCTCTGAGTACTATTCTTTCTAACCTACATATTTGCTAGCAGCTGATTGGATAGCAAAACGTTATGCCATTACTTTATTATATTCATTTATTTTTACCAGTTTCCAATGTATTCAGTAATATTTGATAAATTTGATAATTAAAATATTTAAAAATAGAAAAGCGATTCTTTTCTTTCCTTTAACACTTTAATGAATGCACTGAACATTGTGGTTTGGCACAGCTTCCGACTCTTGCAATTCAGTTGAATCTGTCCATGATTGCTGGATTGGACAGTGTCCCCAGTTGAGCATTTTGAGGCTTTATCGAAAGGAAATGAATAATGATAATTCTTGCAATAGTGCAAAATAATAGTAATAAAATAAAAATTGTTTCACAGTTGTTTTTCAGTAAAATATTCCAGGAATTAATATTATTCCAGTAATAATAATAATAATAATAATTGTTAGTAAAAAATAACAATAATTAATTATTAGCAACAATAATGACAATAATATTAAAAGCATTTTAAAAATAATATTAAAAATAACAGTAACAACAGATTGTCTGGAAAGATATTAAATTGGGCCATAAGCCCTTCTATTTTTATCAAAATATTTGAGGTCTAAAAAAAATGACAGCCCTAGATTTTAATTTCAATTTCAGCAGGTCATATTACTGTTTTGATGATGATGTGTTTTGTTCTTTCCAGCTTTTTCAGAAATCTCAGAAAATCAAAATATTGTTATGTACATGTATGTATCGTGACAATGACTTGAATTACTGTGATGTAAGTATTATTACATTTTTTTGCCATATTGGCCACTCTCAGTGACCATTGGTGAAAGGTATTTTAAATGTTTTAGCCTAGCACTTTGGTTGCTTTAATGGACTTGTTTCTGCTGCAGTACTGTAATAGTCGTATCACTTTATGTTCCTATATTAAGATGAGAATCCCAAGCAGACTTTATTATCTATTCCACAAAAACCTCTGTCAAGGTGCCTATGGTATTATATTGCAACACAGAAAAAAAGAATAACAACGCCTTTATAGATAAAGTTTCAGTCAAATGTGAATGCAAATGATGCCACAAGGTAAGCCAGCTGTAGTCCACTGCTAAAAACTGCGAAATGTCCCTCATTCTCCTCTCCTGACCAGACTCAACTATAAGAACTGCTGTCGTGAAGAAACTGGGGAAAGATGTGATTAAGAATACAATTTATAAGTTGAATCATGTATTAAATAAGGCTATACATACACAGCCCCAAACTGCTTCAGGTTGTAAGTGTAAATAAAGCTGTATATTTACACTATATACATCACGATTGGAAAGCAACTGATTACATGTGCTGTGTATTTTTGTGGTAATTTCCAGTCTCAGTAATATTCTTTTATTGTAAATATTTTTAATGCTCTTGCTCCCTTTTCTCTCTGTAGAGTTCAGGTGGTCCTGTGTACCCATGTATGGACTGCAGTTGTGTGTATAAGAAGCTCGGCAGTTTAAATGCTCACATCAGTAAAATGCACATTTCCATCATGGAGGTGGAGGAGCCAGCCAGCGCACAGGTTACAAATTCTCCTTCCTGAAACTCTACACCAGCAGCATCCAAATCTAGCAGTAGCTAATGAGGAGGAGTGCCATTTGGCTAAAAAAAAATACATGCCCCATGTCTCTTACACCAAATGTAGTCAATTAGCCAAGATATGTTTGGTGCTAAGGAAGCTGAATAATAATTGAAGCTTATACCCCATTAATTAGCATTGTGCTATCTGCAAGCCTAAATCATCACACATTTGCCTCAAATATAGGCTTCAAGATGGCTGCTTTTAGTTACGCTAGCATACAGTTGTCCAGTGTTATAGATACCAGTATGTCCGACAGTGTTAGAAACCACATAAGCAAGTCTTTTTGAGATTACTCGGCATGGTTTGATCCACAGTCCTAATTGGTGGTATATAAGCTTACATACTTGTTAGCTTCTTTAACTTTACAGCTCCTGTGCAAAACTGTATGTATGAAATTTATTTGTGCACTGGGCTGATCAACTGCATTTGGTGTAAGGGAGAACATTTGGTTGGTTTAATTGTTGTACTTTTTTGTTGAAAGTAAACAACAAAAAAATAGACTATAGCACTCGGGTTAATGCTTATTGTTAATTACAGTTGTCACATTATAATTACATTCATACAAACATAGATGATGGTAGCGTGTGTTCATTTTTGTGCATTGCGCCCAGCATGACGCCTGCGTATTTCCTTTTTTGTAGGAGGGGGTGGAATCTGGGCAGGGTGGAGCAGCTGAGGCAGCGGAGGGGGTCACTGATGTCATTCAACAGCTTCTAGAGCTTTCCGAACAGGTAACAGGTGACAGCGCCCAGGCTCCACCCCCTGGACCCACCATTGCCATGGAGACAGCCATCAATCAGGACATTCTGCAGGTGAACTTTGTCGTCTGCCTGAGACTTTAACAAGAATGTTTTTAAGACTTTAACTATCTCAGACTTTAATGAGACTGTCTCAAGCTTCAACTGCCCCAGACATTAATGGTCTTGGACTTCAGTGAACTTGTCTTGGGCTTTAACTGCCTCAAACATTAACTGTCTTGGACTTGAACAAGTCTCAGACTTTAATGAGAGTGTCTAAAACATGAAGTGTTTCAGATTTTAAGTGTCTTGAACTTTAATGAGATTGTCGTGGTCTTTAGTGGGCTAAGACATTTAGGAGACTTCGACTGTCTTAGACATTAACTTGCTAAGACGTTAAGCGTCCCAGATTTGAACTGAACTTTACTGCCTAAGGCTTTTTAGAAAACTATCTCAGTCTAAATTTCTTAAGACTTTGACTGTCTCAGATTTTAATTGTCTAATAATCACAGCCAATATTTTTCTTCATAACGCAGCACCTTGAGCGTTTACTTTGTACAGTTTTACAAAGTAAAGACAAAATAATGTAAAGGAGCCCTGACCATTGTTTTAAATACCTGTTTTTATATAGACAATATTGGCAGTTTCTTCCACCAAAACAGAATAGAGTAAAGCAAACATTTACTAGTATTCAGTAAATGTATTCAGTAAATACTTTTACTCCCCTAGTGGAATGATTGATGTATGGTGAAAAACTATGCCATTGTCAGATACAAAAGAAAGCTTTTTAACCTATCCGATTGTATGGGCAAAACTAAAATTTAATTATAGAACATTTGCCATGTTACGAAATAAACACAGAAAATCTTATAATGTTATATTTTTTTATTTAATTCTTATAAACAAAATTTTGTAGTTTATTTATGAGCAGTGTTCTTGGAAAGTTCTTTGTTATCCACAGAGCAGTTAATATGAGACAGTAGGCATCTCATATTTATCTTATAGAAACTGTTGTTCTGCTAATGTTTTTTGCTTCTGAGACTGCTTTTTCTGAGTCTTTCTCCTTCTTTTTCTTTCTCTTTCTGTCTTTTTTTCTTATTTACATATTTCTATAAGATATATATTAATTTTATATTTCTTTAAGCAACTACATCAATGAAACATTTTGTTTAATAATACAACTGATTTAATAACAGTGACATGAACTACTTGGCATCTGTACTTTTAAAACTAAAGGATTCGCCTAAAATCACCATGATACTTGAGGATCAGTCAAACTTTTTTTAAACATAGAGTGCAATTTATTTGTTGTTGCACATGATTATTGAACATTTTTGTGTTGTTTATTCATTTCAACGTCTGAAAAGTATATTTGCAGTTCAATAGAGTTAATTAGGGAGAGTTCAAAGAGAATTGTCCCCACTTGCAGATGTGTTCTTTTGTAACTACTGTTGCGAGATTGAACAAGCTTTTTAACACTTTTAAACTGGGGCATATTGTGTCATTGGTAGACTCCATAGTATGATAACAAAAATGAAATAAATTATTAAAAATTTCTAGTATTCCGCTATGATTATTGCTCTTATTTCAACAACCTTCCCCCAGATTAAACATCTGTCATCAGATTAGCACATACATTCAATGCAAAAATAATTATTACTGCATGTGTTAATTCCCTTGTTTTGCTATTATTGAGATCTTGTGTACAAAATGAGTCTCCCTCAGGATCTGATGTTACTAGCTCCAGTGTTAGCTCACAAGTTAGCACTGGCTCATCCTTCACTTAGATTCCACCTCAAAACGTGCACTGACTAAAGGATTTCCCAGACTTGATTGATGTTGTCATGCTTTCCAAAATCATTTTAGCACTGTCAAACCAAGAAGTATTATTATCATGATTTTACAATCCATGTGAACCTTTGGGGCACTCAAGCTGTACTGAAAATGCTTGAAGTTTCCCTCAGACAGTTCAGTGTGCACTCTTAGAAACGCATAGTGAGGATAATTGCATTGGAGGGCAAAGTCAGGGTGTAGTTTGGGGGCAGCTTTTGTTTGTGTGTTCCTACAGCTAATGAACTGATGCTGAAGTTTTTTCTTTTACACTATCTAGCTGCTTAGCCTAGTAATTATATCTTTTACACTGTAATACTGAGACAAAGTTCTTCACTTGAATGATGTAAACAATAATGAAAAAGTGAATAATGAAAGCTGTTTTTTTATGTTTATTTTGCTTTACCTAAGTATTTGAAGGCTAAATGCCATTATTTAGTTTGTTTTAATTGTTAACCTTTTTGTGAAATATCGACAGTTATGTAATTTCACTGGTTTTGGTGTTGACTTCCAAAATTCTGTCGTGATATCTGTAAGATTGATGTTATGTTTTGCGTGTGTTCACAGCAAGCCTTGGAGAACAGTGGCCTCAGTGCCATCCCAGTTCAGTCTGACCCTCAGAACAGCGCAGGCTCAAGGCCCGAGCTTGAAACTGCGACTCAGGCTACAGGGGGCGCTGACACACCCAGCCAGAAACCAGCTGTGCCCCAAAAACTGGTGAAGAAGGAGAAGAGAAGCATCTTCAAAAAACCTATACAGATGCCCGGTATGATCATCTCTGTGTGTTTGTGTGTGTGTGTATGAGATGTGTGTGTGCGTGCTTGTGCTTGTATTTGTGTGTGTGTGTGTGTGTGTGTGCTGACAGGTGCTGCTTGATTGATTAATTAATTGATTGATTGACTGAGGCACTGTTAAAGACAGTGGGACCCTGTGGTCATGTGACTTCCAAAATGGCACTGGTTATGGTGACAGCATTCTGCTCTTTTGTTTGTTGTTGTTGTTTGGATGTTTCATATATCATTGGCTGCAGTTTCCCTTTAGAGGAGCGTGGTGGCTTGGCTTAAGTGGCTTTGACTGATGATTGATTATTGATGTACAATTATTAATTGATTGATTAATTGATTTATTTATTATTGTGCCTAGAGGCACCATAAGAGAGGAGCTTAGTTGGCTCTGAGCTCCTCTTTAATGATCTCTGTTTGCTCTGTTGGCAACCTGACTAGTTGTTTGACATTGTATGTATATTGATTGATGGATGGATAGATACTGTATGTGAATCAATTGGCGGTGGCCTGTATAATTCGAAAATATGGGTATTTGTTTGTTATGCTGGTATTCAGCTTTCAGTGTAGTACACAGATCCTTTGTCCTTTTTTAACACTGCAGCGGCCATTCAAGCTAAAAGAGTGTAGATGCCTAAGAAATCATGGGAGCACTTTTCTGAGTATAATGAGGCTCTGGTGATGGCAGCACTAAAACGGGGACACTGACACCCTAAAACTGGTTTGTTGTGAAGAGTTTTGGCAGGAGGGTATCACCTATGCTGCTGCCCTTGAGGTCACTCTCAGGCAGATGAGTCTAGCGCAGGGGTGAAGTTAACTTTAGCAGCTCTAGCCAGTGACCCTTCAGGTTGTGGACCAAAAGCCACATGGCTACGCTCAACCTGGCCTGCACTTTGCCCTCAATGCTAATCTCCATGATTTAATAAAAGTACAAGCTAGCCAAATAAAATAACTCAATAAACAAATTTTAAAAACAATGACTCACAAATAAGCCTGTCACAGTTAATACATAATCGCCTGATCACAGTCATGTCACAGTAATGCTTGTTTATTTATTTCTTTGTGAATATTGCCTTTAGAGGACAATGATTAGAAATGTTTGTTTATTTGATTTTTGTTATCAACACCTTTAGAGAATGGCAGTGGGTAACGTTTGCTTTTCGTGTAACACCTTTAGGGGGTGATAATGAAAAATGTTTGTTTATTTAATGTTTTTTAAGAATGCCTTTAGAGAACGGTGAGTAATGTTTGTTTATTTTAACTTGAGCTGTGTCTGTCATCAGTTAGGAGCTTTAGGCTTATACTTTAATATTTGCATACAAAACCATCAGCTAAAATTTCATGATTGTGATAGGCCTACTCATAAACTTAAGAGCAAGTGACTTCAATGAGATGGATCCATCATGGATTCTATCATAGCTAAACACAGTGCACAAGCAGATGGGTTTCAGTCTGACTGTTAGTACACTATTGCTGCTTGCTGGATTTATTTTGAACTGCAGTAACAAACATGCTTAAAATTTGCCCCACTGCCCCAGGCAGCGCTGCTCTGCTGGCAATGCTGTGCTGCTCACAGATTGGGCATGGTTAGGCAGCAAAATGATGAATGTCACTACAGCCACTATTTGAGAGTTGACTATTGGGACCATAAGGTCACATGGTTTCCAAGATAGCACCAGTTATGTTGACAGCTTTGTTTTTTTGTTTTTTTTTTAATTTGTGTGTTTGGTAATCTCATGGATCATCAGCTGCAAACATCTGTCTGTTGCCTCTGTATACACTAGCAGAATGGAAAACAAGGCATTAAAAATGTGAGAAGATAATTGTCACAAAACACACTACCCTTTTAACTAGTTCCTTTTTGACAAAAAATATAAATGGATCTTATGCATTTAACCTTCTGCTGTCATACTCCTCAACTTCATCTCACCATTTCAACTATTTGTTTTTAACCCATTCCAACATATTCTTTTAGTTTTTTTATTGGCTGGATAGTTTATATTTTTGAGTTAAAGATGTATTATTTTACTTTATCTTATTTATTTGGAAATAATTTTATATGTGGTGTTGGACATGTATGTTTGTTGTTTGTGTTTCTGAGCAGCACTGAAGCTCCTTAGTCAAGCACTGAATATATAATACAGAATTAAGTGTAGGCTGTGTTGGCACAGCTCAGATTGATGGACTGATGTTTTATGTATATTAGTTAATTTATTAATTGATTGGTTGTAGCTCACCTGTGTGCATCACTAGAGAGGAGCGCTGGGTGATTTGGCACACCTGGATTGATTGATAGATCTGGTATTTCATGTGCAATCATTAATTTATTAATTGCAGGCACCTTTAGACATACATTGATGTGAACTTGTTGGTTGGTTAATGTTGTTTGTTGATTTGTCGATTGTAATGTTTTATGAGATTTAATTGTTTCATTGCTTGATTGACTGATTGATTGACCCTGTTCTGTAGGCACCATCAGAGAGGAGCGCGGGGTGCGTTGGCATGGCTGCCCATACTGCTCTAAAGAGTTTAAAAAGCCCAGTGACCTGGTGCGGCACATCCGCATACACACACATGAGAAGCCATATAAGTGTAAGCAGTGTTTCAGAGCCTTTGCTGTGAAGAGCACGCTCACCGCACATATGAAGATACACACAGGCATCAAAGCCTTCCAGTGCCAGTACTGCATGAAGTGCTTCTCCACATCCGGCAGCATGAAGGTCCACATGAGGCTGCACACAGGTAAGACACACACACACAAAACCAACCTTAGTCATACATACAGAAATATGCTAGGACCTGACCGATATATGATTTTGATAAAATTGGTTGATATTTAAATTCTACAGATTTATAATTAAGCACCAAGAATGTCTCCTAAAATGTTATTGGGTAACTTATAAGAAGAATCCCACCAGGATAAGATGCCACCCACACCTTACCTTTAATTTCTCTCCTGAGCTAATTATTGCTCCAAAACTAATTTCAGTACATGTATTAAATGGCTGTGATCTAATTATGAAATTTGGGATTTTGGGGTCTGTTGTTCTAATTTTTTGTCAGTGGGTAATGGTGGTGTCCACATTTATTAGGGGTGTACTGAAATTAGAGCTGGGCGATATGGCCAAAAATGTTATCACGATAAACAAAATTCATATCGTTCGATATCGATACATATCGCGATAAATGTCAAATCATGATTTCTTTCACGTTTGAAGGCTGATTTTGCTCCTGGGTGGTTAACTGTGGTTTTAAACTATCACTTATGGTCTGATCATGACAACCACTCGGCAAACAGTGGAACATTTCCCTAATCTGTCTTGGGACAGTGGGAGAAAGTTTCTGAGCTGTTTTTATCAGCTTGAAATGCACAGCTGCAATTTTTGTAATAGTCATGATTTAAGAAAGAAAACATTATTTTTAGCTGTCTGGTGATGAGCACTTGGCTACCCCGTTACAAATGCTAAACAAGTGGCCAACAACAGTGCTAAACTCAGTTTCTCAACAACGTCAGCTCGGTTCGGTAGGTCACTGCTGTCACTCCAACCACATCCATGTCAGAGCATATCACAGTGTTCAGACACCAGCTAGCGACGACTGGATTTCTCTATGCTATTGTAGTAGTTTAAGGGGTGAACTGCAGTATATCTGACGTTTGCTGTGTAAAAGCATTATCTGCAGTGTGAATCTCTCGCACCAGACAAACAGAGTCCTCCTTTTAGGCATGTTTAAACTGAAAGCGGTGATTTTGTGTCTTGTTTGATCTACTGTATCATCAATTCACCGTGTTTTGCCGGAGCGCTGCTTCAAGTTAGCCAGCAGCTAAAAACAGCTAGCCTGGAAAGATAGCGCTCTCCCGCTCTCCAATGCCTCACAGTTTCCTCAGTTTACTTTCGACCATGAACCCACTTCTTTCTTTCACTTTCGTTGCTCGAGAATGCACTAATACTAAAATATGACGGTTTGGCGCTGTAACACGGCGCTGCAGACATGATTTAACACTGCTAAAGTTGTTAGAATGCATGGAAAGAGGCGAGTTCACCGTAGGACAGTACAGTTACACCACTGACCTCGTCACTCACACTCGGTCACAGGAGAACAGATCGCCGATAACTTCCACTCAGACAGGGACTGTATAACTCCGCGTTTCAGCCGTTGCTAACTAAAGTAGCTATATTTGGCGACCCTTTTTTACTCGTGGCCCCCTCCCTCTCTAATCAAGTCGAAAAATTCGGAAGTGCGCCCTCTCCTGGCGACAGCAGAGTAGTGTTGCTTTCCTTGCAGTAGAAAGCGCCACCAGGGCTTTCGCTAAAACGTGGAAGTATGAGAATGGTGTATTATATCGAACATTTATCGAACCAGTCTTATCGCTCTATCGAGGAAAAGTTATATCGCGATACTTATCGTTATCGTTTTATCGCCCAGCCCTAACTGAAATAAATGATTGAGCAAAACCAGGATATTGAAATCGAAAAAAGGTGATAATAAATAAAACATTTTACATAAAAAAGTGCTAAATTATTGCACTATATAAGTTACAGGTTGTTCCACAAAATCAAACGTCCTCCACAACAGAGAACAGTTGGTCATCCAAGGCAATAAATTGTTTGTTTTTTTTTAGTTATACTCTGCACACTGGCTGTCATTTGTGATTTTTTTTGTATCATTTAAAATTTACATCATTAACATCAATAACAAAAAAAAAACAGTTGTATGCAAAAATTGGGTGGCCATAGCTAAATTACATATATTTTTTTTTTTACTTCTAAGATGTAAAGCAGTAAACACAACCACTGCAGCCAACTATTTTAAAACATAACATTTTTCTAAAACTTTTAACACAGTTACTTTATCTTTGATTATAAGTGATACTTTATAAAACAAAATATAATTGTGAAACATGCAAAGTTTGAAGACCCTGCTAAGTTAAGACTTAGGGCGTTTTCACACTTGGGCCGTTTCAGCGTCTGAAGTGGACTCAGACCGCTGAGTCATGGTTTCTTTTGCATATGTGAACACGCCAAACGAACTCAGACCCCCCTAAACGGCCCCCTAAACGAACCGAGTTCGGTTCGTTTGTAGTTCGTTTTGTGGTTCGATTAATTTGTGCATTGTGAAAACAAAACGGCCCCAGTCCGCTTTAGCTTTGCCTTTTGGTGAAGACCTCGATGCTCGCCGTACACACAGCCAGTCTTCACTTTAGCAGGTAAACAGACCAAGGATCATTTATAAGGTTCTGCTCAGGATAAAGTCTGTCTGTGATCTGCGACAGACAGCAGCGCTGACTTATTAAAGCGATCAGATGCGAGAGCCCGCGTGATTTTACCGTGATAAGGCTCGAGCTGGGCATGCAACGCAATTCTCAGCTGTTTTCACTCTGAACGCTGTATGAATGAAAATTCCCCGGGTGGAGCTTCAGTGAGGAGCACAGCCGAACCCGGAGCCCACCGCGGCAGACCCGCAGGGCGCGATGGACTTCGGCCAATCGTTTCAGCGCGGCCAATAGGAGAGCAGCAGGCGGGTCTGGTGGATCTTCTCGTCACCTGATAGCTCGGATTTATCCGAGAACGCGGCCCACTTGGCGAGCGCTGTGCACAGCGTGAGTGCAGTGAAAGGGGTCCGAGTTCTAATGGAGTTGTGGTCTGAGATCTCAATGTACCAGAAAGAAAACTGAGTCCTCTTTAGAGTTCACTTACATTGTGAACACAAAAAGAACTGAGGTCACTTGCAGTTGGTTCCTTTCCAGGTTCACTTTAACAGAACTCGGTTCGGTTCTTTTAAAACGAACTATATGTGAAAACACTGTCACTGTTCTCACATAAAGTTCATTTTAAAAGAACCGAACAGAGAAGGGAACCAACTGCAAATGACTTCAGTTCGTTTTGTGTTCACAATGTAAGTGAACTATAAAGAGGACTCAGTTTTCACAACACTGTATGTGCGCGCAGTGTTCGCAAAATGGGCAGCGTTCTCTGATAAATCTGACCTATCAGGTGACGAGAAGAACCACCAGACCTGCCTGCTGCTCTCCTATTGGCCGCGCTGAAACGATTGGACAAAGTGCATCGCGCAAAATTGGAAAAACGGCCCTGGGGGTCTGCTGCGGTGGGCTCCGTTTTCGGCTGTGCTCCTCACTGAAGCTCCACCCGGCGAATTTTCATTCATTCAGCGTTCAGAGTGAAAGCAGCTGAAAACTGCGCTGCGTGCCCAGCTCGAGCCTTTAACACGGTATAATCACGTGGGCTCTCGCATCTGATCGCTTTAATAAGTAAGCGCTGCTGTCTGTCGCAGATCACGGACAGACTTTATCCTGAGTAGAACCGTATAAATTATCCTTGGTCTGTTGTACCTGCTGAAGGCTGTGGCTGTGTGTATTGTGAGCCTCGAGCTCTTCAGCATAAAGCAAAGGTAAAGTGGACTGGGGCCATTTTGTTTTCACAATGCACAAATTAATCGAACCACAAAACGAACTACAACGAACTTTTTGGGGCCGTTTAGAGGGGTCTGAGTTCGTTTGGTGTGTTCACATACGCAAAAGAAACCATGTCCACTTCAGACGCTGAAACGGCCCAAGTGTGAAAACGCCCTTACACCCTCTTTGGCAGAGATCACAGCTTGCAAACACTTATTGTAGCCAGCTAAGTGTCTTTCAGTTCTTGTTTTAGGAATTTTCAGCCACTCTTCCACGAATGCTTCTAGTTCTGCAATATACTTGGGCAGTCTTTCATTCAGATCATGGTTAAGATTTACCCCCTGATTCTCAGTGATGTCCAAACTTTGAGTCCTTGTTGAAATCCTCCGGCTTGAAGTGTTGCGAACACATGCAAACGTTTCTCAGTATGAATGCAGTTCAGGTTATTTATAGCAGCAGCAACTTTTTAATTGTTACCTCTTTGACAGTTTTCAGTGGTGTGTGATTTTTTTTTTTGTGCATTTTGTTTAACAGCACAAGACAGAATACAGACTCAGAAGAAAAACTTTCCTTAATATTTTACATAGATCTTTACAAAGTTGCCAAACTAAATGACCTGCTGAAGATAAGGGGGTGTGGTTATGTTGGGCAGCACCTATATTCCACTTCAACAAGTTGTAACTGTCCAAATGAAGACTGGGAGACCATGGTCCTCAAATTTAAAAAGCTCAATATCTTTAGATGTACACTGCTCAAAAGTAGTTATGGGACACTTTTATCATCAGTTGTTTAATTTGTCAACGTATTGTGGAAATTGTGCTTTACTAGATTGAGAAGCACATAATTTCAGCTGTATTACGACATCAATATTTTGGGTCCAGTTGAGCTATAAAACATTCACCTCACCCCATTTGCTTCAAAACAAATGTTGGGATGCTAATGTTCAACCAGAGATCTCCAGCGCACCATTCAACACACCTGACTCTAAATTTCACATTTTGAAAGAAAAAGTAAAAAAAAAACAAGAAACTTGGAAAACCAAGAATATAAAAGTTACATGAATTTGCCAAAAAGTATTAAAATGTCTTATTTGTTTTATTTGTATTAGCTGGTTACAAAGGCACCCACACATTTTTTTTTTTTACCAAAGAATTGTCAAAATGGTTTCCAAACAAGTGACCCATTTCAGCAAAGTGTACCGTGATTTGGCACTGAAGTGTAGAAAATTGTACATGGTTTAGATGTTTTAGGCTGTATTAATGAACAGGCAATGAAAGGCATGCTAAAAGCACATGCCACTTCTTATCAGGCAAAATCAATAGTAATTTAAATTCAGCTGGTCTGTGTCTCATGTACAATCACAAAATGTTTGTTTTTAGAACCTATAATAATTAAACCTCAAATGTGTTTTATTAACACATACCTGTGAATAATTTGAGTAAAAGCTGTGTTCCTGCAGAACTGAAAAGTTATTGGAAATGTAAACAAGTGATGTGTGTTTTGAGTGTAGTTTTGACCCTGTTTCTGAGCACAGTAATTAGCAGCTGAATTAAAAAGGTGGTGATGCTGAGTGCGGAAATTGTTAGTACACATGTCCCTCTAAACCAAAGATAAACAGCCATTGCTTTGAAGTCATTGTCATTTTGCTACTGCTTACTTAAGATAATTAATAATATAATTTTTTTTCACCACATTTGAAATGCAATATTATTTTAATGCAAATATGTCTGTTCCTGCAGGAGTGCGGCCATTCCCCTGTCCTCACTGTGATAAGATCTTTCGGACGTCAGGCCACAGAAAGACACACGTTGCCTCGCATTTCAAAAACATTCAGCAGAAAAAACATAAATTCCCCCGGAAGCCCCACCGAGCCCGAGCAGCCAAAAGCAACCTGCCACTGCCGGATATACCGCTACAGGAGCCAATACTGATTACTGACCTGGGTATAAATACACGCGCACACACACACACACACACACACTGCCAGATAAACCACTATAGGAGCTAATACTGTTTAATACTAATATATGTACTCCCACCTAAAGACATATTTGGGCTGTTATATATACTGCTGGATTGTAACCTGCTTTTAACACACATACATCAGGCCTCTAGACTAACACTGCTCTGTCTTCCAGCTATAAAAATAGTGTATGGGACAATGTTTAAACCGTTTTGGGGTGCTTCAGGGACAAGGTCATAAAACATTTTCAATGTGCCAGCAGTCCACACACACCACAAATATAATAATGTTTAATCTGTTTAACTGTTTTTAATTTGCTTTATAAGAGACATTTTTTCATGATTTTTTTACAACTAGCATAATGCTAATTTCCATGGTACTTTCGCCCATCAATGGGCATACTCTACCTTAAACATGGTCAGTTAAATTAGAGAAATGATATCTCATAATGCCCTGCTCATAATTTGACTCTGGATGAGCATCTAACCCATCCATACCCAAATTACACTATATGAACAAAAGTATTGGGACACCTACAAATTACACCACATACAGGAGATTTTGTGACATCCTATTCTAAATCCATAGGCATGGATATGGAGTTAGTCCACCCTTTGCAACTATAACCGCTTCCACTCTTATGGAAGATTTTGGGTTGTGTTAGTGGGAATTTTTGCCCATTCATCCAGAAGAGCATTTGTGAGGTCAGACACTGATGTTGGACGAGAGGGCCTGGCTCGCAGTCTCCATTTTAGTTCATCCCAAAGGTGTTCAGTGGGGTTGAGGTCAAGGCTCTGTGCAGGCCAGTCACTGTTCTTCCTCACCAAACTCACCCAACCGTGCCTTTATGGACCTTGCTTTGTGCACTGGGACAGTCATGCTGAAACAGAAAAGGGACTTCCCCAAACTGTTCCCACAAAGTTGGCAGCATACAGTTGTCCAAAATGTCTTAGTATGCTGAAACGTTAAGATTTCCCTTCACTGGATCTAAGGGGTCAAGGCCAGTCCCTGAAAAACAACCCATAGCATTATCCCTCCTTTACCAAACTTTACAGTTGGCACAATGCTGTCAGGTAGGTAACATTCTCCTGGCATTCACCAAACCCAGACTCATCCGTCAGACTGCCAGATAGAGAAGTGTGATTCATCACTCCACAGAATACGTTTCCACTGCTCCAGAGTCCAGTGGTGGTGGGCTTTACACCACTCCATTTGACACTTGGCATTGCGCTTCGTGATGTAAGGCTTGCATGCAGCTGCTCAGCCATGGAAACCCATGCCATTTTCAATAATACCACCCACAGTTGATTGTTGAATTTTGTGAACTGACTTGTTGCAACGGTGGCATCATATTACAGTACCATGCTCAAATTCAGTGAGCTCTTTAGAACTACCTGTTCTTTCACAAATGTTTGTAAAGCTAGACTGGGCAGGTGCTTGATTTTTTTCAACTGTGGCAATGAAACTCGGAATTCAGTGATTAAGAGGTGTGTCCCAATACTTTTGTCCATATAGTGTATGTTCTAGTGCACAAGAATATGATCATACTCTTAATCCAAAGGCATCCATAAATAATGATCAACCAAATGTTAACAATTGTGTATAAATGCTATTTACTAGTTATTCCTGATACCCAATAAAATGCATGATAATGTTGAACAAATACGTAAATATATGATAATTCCATCATATATGATAGAATTATTATATGACATTAATATATGATAATTCTAAGATTTAGTACCAAAAACCTGAATTTACATAGATTTGCTTTGAAAGAATGTATTTCATGTTACTCTATCTGTTTCACTCCCTACAGGTCTCATGCAAAACCAAAACCCGCGGGCTGCTCTCCAGCAGTACCTGGACATGGTGGATAACGACCGGCCGTACAAGTGCACCTTCTGCAGCAAAGCCTACAAAAAGTCCAGCCACCTGAAGCAACACGTCAGGTGTGATTAAATTCTTCAGAATTTTCAGTGCAGATACTCGGCCAAAAATGGGGAGTTCTGATTCTGACTGACCTCACAGCAACAGCAATTAATTTTGGTTTTTTGATTAACCCCTTAAACTCTAAGGGTCTTTTATGTAGATCCATGTTAACGCTTATAACAACAGAACTAGTTACTGAATTGATAGCAGTTATTGAATAAATCATATTAGTTACTGAATAATGTAGTTACTTAATAGTTTGTAATTATTGAACATTCAGTAGTTGATATTGAATAATTTATAATGAAAACTGAAAAATCCATAGTACTTACTGAATAATTCATAGCAGTTGCCAAATAATTTATGGTACTGACTGTGTACTTCACTGTAGTTCTTAAATAATTCATAGTAGTGTGTGAATAATTTACAACAGCTGCAGTATTATTAGAAATGCCATATTGTGCATATTTGTTTTGTGTGTTTTGAAGTGCATTTTAGATCAGAAGCGTGACCCCCACAGCTATCCATCTCATGTGCAAAGCATGCTGCAAATGATGGCATTTAATGTTTTGAGTCTGTTTTTTACTGCTTGCTGTGAGATACATGCCACTAGATGTTTTATCACTCATGATATACAAAAACAAAGTTGCAAAAACGTCTTCTGTGCTGCTTGTCTTGATTTAGCCCAATTTTTTTTGTTTTGCATTTTTGCTTCTGGTGGTGGTATTGCAGATCATGGTGGAAAGGTGCAACAATGTAGAAAATTTGCCACCGCAAGAGCTCTAGTTACAGCGTAATGAGTCTTAATTGACCCTGAGGCAGACCAGTGCTGCATTTTTAGTTCGTTAGGAATACCAAAGACAGGAGCACACGATTGTGAGTGGAGCAGGCTAAACAATGGCCTTTGTCTGAATTTGTATTTGAGTGCCTGTTTTCTGGACAGCATAAAGCCATTTAGGGGGGTCCAATAGGTCACTCGCGTAATTTGCATGCCCACTTAAGCAAATACAACTGTGCTCTATGGAATTTCCAGACCTCTGTAGAAAACTGAGCACTTAATTTCAATCCAGGAATGTGTATTTGTGTGTGCATGTCTCAGCTGATGAAATATCCTGTGGTGAAAAAAAAAAAGGTGTAAGGTAAATGCCAGGGTTAGTTCACATGCTTTGTTATTGTTTATAACACGGTTGGTTACAGGCCTCAAATTACTCTGTGATTTGTGCTTGTTTATCTTATTGAGTGAACCACGGTGATTGCTTTGAAAGTAAGCTTTTAAAACATAAAAGTACATCCATCTCTAATGCTGCATACAAATCCCACAAAAAAGGATTTTTTTTTTCTCTTTTTTTTAATTTGGTCTTTTCTACTGGCTAGGGTTGGAATATTCATGATGTCACTGACCAAAATGATCAGACTATTTAATGCATCAATATTTTTAAATACCGATACTGAAAATGTTTACAGAGCACTAATACACACTGAAAGCATTTCAGATTTCACGTGTCTAAAGTATTAAGTATAAAGATTGTTTATACTGGTGAAAAGTGACATTGAGTTGCGTATGTATGTTTCTTCAGGTCACACACCGGAGAGCGGCCATATAAGTGTGTGCAGTGCAGTAAAGGCTTTGCGTCATCTGGCGTATTGAAGGCTCATATCCGCACACACTCTGGTCTAAAGGCATATAAGTGCCTGCTGTGTGACACCACCTTCACCACCAATGGCAGCCTGCGCCGTCATATGACCACACACAGCGACATCCGGCCATACATGTGCCCCTACTGCCAAAAAACCTTCAAATCATCACCCAACTGCAGAAAACACATGAAAACACACAGGTGAGATAACATGCTTGCACATGTGTGGGCACACACACATACTATGCACACTGTTAGAAATTCAGCAGGAAGAGTCAGGCTGGAGACTGGAGCTTTGGCGTTGACTGGAGTTGATTTCCACATACAGAGTATGGGTACAACGTGGTCGATTAACAGTCTGTCAGCAGTATCAGGAGTCTAGTCTTATTCACGTGCATGCAGACAATCATGCATGGGCACAGCTTGGTCATCAGTGTGTCACCAGTCCAGTCTGGTCACCAGTCTGACAAGAATATTTTGGAAGGATCTTATATACATTGAAAACTAAGGCGAAGGAAGGAGGGGGAAAAGGAGTTTAAGGAGGGATAAGGAGGGGTTGTAGAAGGAGAATATGAATAGAGATGTAGGGGGTAGAGATAAGGGGGGGTGATTGTTATCATCTTAAGGTCGTGAGACAAAGGGTCATTTCAATACAAGCAAAGAAGTGAGGAGGCAAGGTGAGAGTGTGACCAGTTTCACCTTTCTGCCATTTGCTTAAACTCTACAATGAACATGGTTTAGACCTTAAGAAAATAACATAAGGGAAAATGGCATATATTGAGAATATTTTCTCTCAACACACATGGCCATACTGCTTAAAAACGCAACCAGTTTTACACTTGTATTTTGTTGCATTTTAACAAATCTAAAAAGGCAATTTTTGTATTTTTAAGAGCGAACTATAGCATACAGTGTCATTGATGCAAAGCACACTTTTTTCCCTTTTTTTCTTGGTAATTTCCATGATCTAAATCTTCACTTTAGCAACATCTAAGATGTGCTTCACATCTAAAAATGAAAAACATAGCAGGTTAAGCATTCATTTATTTAAACTGATATGCATGTTATGTGATCTGAAAAAGATTTTCATATGTGCTTTCGTACACTGTATTGCATACTCTGATTTACAAAAATGGACAAAATACGGACAAAATTCCATCTTTTTAGCAACGTGACCCATTTTTGTATTTACCTGTTTTACTTTATCTGTGCAGGTTCGAATTGGCTCAGCAACTCCGACAGCAGGGCTCAGCTGAGGCTCAACCTCTGGAAGACCCCATGGGCGGAGCAGGCACTGTGGAAGACCAGATGGGTGGGACCAATTCTGTGGAGGACCCGATGAGCAGCGGTAACACAGTGGAAGACCCGATGAGCGGTACCAGAACGGTAGCACATGACCTGCAGGTAGAGATGCAGGTGGGGCCTACAGGACTAACTCAACCCACTTCTGCCATGGTGGCGGAGCCTCAGGCCATGCTGCAGGTGGTGGGTGGTGGCCAGCAGGTGGCACTGCAGACACAGCTGGGAGAGGGAACTCTGGTGCAAGATGCTGGTAAGATTAGAGTTTTTTTATCACTGACTGTATATATGAGTGGACAGCATGGCTACACAGACTTCTCTCGTGCTTGTAATGGTTCCCCTTTCTGTGTTGGTCCACCTGATTTCATAAGCCCTATTCAGATTGCCAACTGCAATTCAATGTAATAATATGTCCTATATTTATTGCATTTACACTTATTAGAAACACCAGCCAAATCATGTGAAAAAAATGAACCAGGGTCTCATATACATTTAATTCTGTCCGATTCAGGCTTTAGATGTTGTTCCACTGGCTGAAATCTCCTATATGGTTACTTACATTGCGTAAATAAATGTTTTATTATCATACCTACGTGCTGCATTCAAATGAACTGACAATTGTTGTATTTAATGAAATTATATGCAATAATGCTCCAACTTCAGTGATGCATAATTTTTGGTGCCTTGCTGGCAAAATATGGCTGTTGGTGAGATTGCGTAACTGTTCACTAAAGCTTGGTAGCTTGAATGTTAGCTAGAACACAAGATTGCACTCTGCATTTGAGCAAGGTATAGTTGAAGTAGTCAGTTTCATAGACAGCTTGTGAGCAAGCACACTTCCATAAACTAGTTGTGGACACTGCCATAGTAAGACCAGGACTAATGGGGAATTGTGTAGACAAGGTATATTTGGGGTAGAACTATATCGATATTTTACAAAAATTCACCCTTTTTGATGTAAAATGTGAGAGCCTAATCCTGGTTGCACTTAGGCAAACATTACCCCCACCAATCACATATCGACCAAAAAAAATAAATAGCTAGCTAGCATGGTAATTTAATACCATTATAATTCTGAAATAAGCTCTTAAAAATAGTGTTACACAAACTGCCATTACATCAAGAGGCTATCATTACAGTAGCTGAACAGTACCTAATTATCTATTTGATCAAGGATGCTTGTCTTAGGATGATGTAAGTGCAGACCAACATCACTGTTATGAAGTGTAAAGTTGGCCAAACTGAAAACTGTCTTGCTTGCGCTTGTGAACTAGATGAAAAGAGGAGCCAGAGTCTGCAAAGTAGAGACCATTAGAGACTAATGATGCACCAAAATAAAATTCTTGGCTGAAGACAAAAGAAGTTAAATGTAAATTTAAAAAAATGTGTATTTTAAATGTAAGTCATACTTTACACTTTGGCACTATAATTTGTATTTCAAAACCTGTGGCACATTCTTTTCAGCTTCTGTTGTTTTGCTGTGTTCTGCATATCGAGTGAGATGTAGTTTTCAAGTTTTATCAAACCTGTAATGGTGCTTGAATGTCTTACCCTGTGTTGATATTTGGGATGAACAGTAATTATGAATGTATAGTCTAATGTCCCACGTAGAAACTGTGAAATAGCTCCTCTCGTGTATCACCAAATAACTTATATAAAACAAGTTTATTTGGCATCATGGGACCTTAAAACTGACATAAAATGCATGCATGCAAATGCAACTACAGCTGTGTGTAAGAACTAGAGATGAAACAATATTAAAATTTCATATCACGATTATCATGACCAAAATTATCATGATTATCGGTATTATCACGATATTGTTCAAATGTGTGGAAAGTAAAATAAATAAAAAAATAAATACTGATACACAAACTGAAACTCGTTTCACCAACTTTTATATTAACACAGATAGAATTGGCAGCAATATGCACTTTGTTTGCATAAACATTAAAAAATAAGGTCAATACATTTTTAGTATTACTTTTGTATTACTTACAATGCGTGTAATACTCTGTAAACAAAAGAATAGCAAATGTATTATTATTACTGTTATTATTATTATTATTATTATTATTATTATTATTAATTACAATAACTAGGGATTTCCCTGCATAGAGAATTAAATCTGGACCAACTCTGAGATGGGTCTTAATGGAAAATTGCTACTCTAAGAAGTGCTGCAATCGGGGGATTTCTGTCCTAACTTCAGCTGCAGCTTTATTGTGCCGTTGTGGCGCTGTACCCCTAATCAATACAGTGCACCAGGAAAAACAGCCAAAATCGCAGAGGAACTGCATGACCGCGCTGTGAGCTGCAGACAGTGTAGAACTCACACAGCGTGTCTTCACCTGTGGAGCTGCTTCTCTAAAAGCATTTTAAAGCTAAAACATAACTTACAATTAACATGCATCTGAGCTGCGACAGAAACACTCCTAAAGTTTAATCTCTGAAACTCTGCTTTTCCTAAAAGCAGCACACAGCGTTTACTCGTGCAAGGTCCCGTCCCAAAAGCACACTATCTTCCCTATGTAGTGCACTTCGTGGATCATGAAATAGCAAATCCTTCACCCAAAGAGTGCATGAAATGTTCGACTAAGTCATCTATAATGAACATTAACAACAGGTTACAAATTCCCTATTTAAAACTCAACTGCTTGTTAATGATGATCGTGTTCGTTTGAACAGTAGCGCACTATGTAGGGCACATTGAGTGATTTGAGACGGTGTTACTCTCTTCTCAGACAGTAAACACTGCAAGCGAGACGAGAAAGGGGAGCTGTGCAGATTGAACTTCTGCAGCGTCTCGTTCCGGAGTTTGTGTGACTTAACTCAGAGCTCATTTTGGAGACACTTCTCCACAGAAATATGTGTTAAAAGCTTTAGTTTCGATTCACAGCTGATTATTAACGAACCATAAACATAAGTTAAACCACACAAACCATGACATTTCTTCTATTTCGAGGTCCCCACAGACTTCTACGTTAAAGCTAACCTTGCATTCTTGCAAGTAGCAGGTGGTGGTCGCGAAGATGACTCGTAAGGTTGGATGTGTTGCCCCCTTTCGCCGCTTTTTTCTTTCGGCCTGTTCTGCAGACAGGGTGGTCATCTTCAATTAACTTTCTTTCTGCATTCTTATAAAACCCAAAATATGAGCAAACGTCAGACTTGGTCTTCTTAGAAGGCTGAAATATCTCCGAATCTCCGAGTTTTTCACACCACGGTAATCGACCGCGGTTTTAACGACACTTTAAAGTTCAAACAGTACTACTAACCGTTATTAATTTTACCACGGTTTACCGTGAAACCGGTAACTGTTTCATCTCTAGTAAGAACATATAGTAGAATAATAAAGTGACGCTTGGGAAAGATAAAACAAAATCCTTTAAAAATTAAGATGCCGTGCTGTTGTGTTTTAACAGCACTCCATTGTTGCCCAGGCAGGATAACCTCTTATCTCCCTGCATACTCTAAATGATATTTTTTTCTGCAGCACTGGCTCATCTAATTTCAAAATGGCTTTGTGTTTTCACTCTTGGCTTGTGCATGACAGCATAGATTTTGAAATGCCAGACAAAGACCAGTGTGTCCCTCCGAGCATGCAAAATATGTGAACAAATATTTCTCTTTTGACCTTGTCTGGCAAGTTTTTAAACCTTTGGAGAAACTTTTGACCACAGTTAAGTTTAAGCTGTGTTCGCAGGTCCATGTCAGATTTGGATTTTCAAATTCCCTGATTTAAATTCAAAGTGGTTTGCCTGCTCGTCAGACGCAGATGTGATAAAACACTGGAGATAAAGCCCTCGCTGAAGGAGAGGCTGAATATAATTAGCTTCAACAGGTTTGGCTTTGCTTCACTTTCAGCTCAAGGTTGAGGAGCTAAAAAAAAAAGGCTTTAAAGAGGCTTCAGACTGCTCTTTTAGAGAAAATGTCATACATTAGTGCTGGGAGGGCATGCTAAAGTATGTGTTATTCATACTACATTGAAGAGTGTGTGAACAGCTTTGTTGATCTGTGTGGACTGACTGATGTTATTCTGCGGAAGGACAAAAACACTTATCAGGAGAGGCCATGGTGATGGTGCTTCATAGGTTCCCTAGAATCAAAACACTGCATTTCAGCAGGTCCTGAGTGTGCCAGAGAACAGTCTGGAGCTCTCCCCTTATTTTCACACTTTGCCATATTTTAGATTAACATTGAAGTCAAAACTATAAAACTTTGAAATCACTTTTGGAATTATACAGTGACTATAAAAGTTTACAAATGCGAACTATATTAACCTTTATGCAGCTTTGCACATTCTTGACATTCCCCCAAATCATGGAAATGAGTGTAGGGTAACCATGAAAATGGCTGTAGGGTAACCATGAAAATGGCTGTAGCGTAACCATAAAAATGCAAAACTTTTGCTCGCACCTGTACCTTCACTATAAAACAGATACTTTCAGTTCTATTTAAGTTGGTCTTACAAAGTCAACTTACTGTTTTTCGTTTCATCATTCTGTGCTTTTTGGTATCGTTTTCATGGGTCACAGTTTTCGAGCTAGAACCACAAAACTTTGCAGGGTGGTAAGCTTTATGGGAATAGATGTTTGTGCTTTTGGGACTGATCGCACATATGATTTTCGTTAAAATGGTATGATGTTGAGAGAATTCAAATCTACCTTCTACAAATGATATCACAAAAGGACATCTCTCATCTCTCACACTGTCTCTCATTAAATATACACATACTGACTCGCACACATACTAACATGCATGTATAACACACACACATGGTTCATGGAATAATCTTTGACCATTATACTGCTTGGCAACCATAGCCCTCTGCTAACAAACTACATTGCTTGGTAGAAGAATTTACAGTATTATTTGCCATAATTTACCCCTTAACCTGGGGAAAACTTTTATAACCCCTGACTTCCAGTGGATTATTACTTTAATTGGTCATGGCTGGTGTACTGCAGCTCGGTGTATGTCAAAGCTAATTACTCTGCTTTTATTTTCCACAGACACGTTTGTGAGCACACAGCACATCAGCCAGTATGAAACACCAGCTCTTCCACAGCCTGCATATGACCAGCCAGCGCTGACACAAGGTATCACGCACAAACACACACAGAGACTAATAGAGTTAGGGTAAGCCTGGCATACCCTTATCAGTATTGTTCGTACTTTGCACTTGCAGCAGGTTTAAACTTGCAGCCCTTAAACTAGGGATGCACCGGTACCACTTTTTCCCTTCGAATATTGTCCAATACAGAGTACTGATACTGATACTAACTATATCTAACCCAGGTAGCTTATCCAAATATTTACACAATTCAACTTTTTAAATATTTCCTTTTGGTACAAGCTGTGTTTTGTCTCACTAGCAACTGGATTCTTTTAATACAGAGCCATGCTGTTGTAAGGCAGAATGTGGTTTGATATTGTCTTGCTGAAATAAGCAAGGCCTTCCCTGAAAAAGATGTCATTTGCATGGCAGAACATGTTGCCAAAACATGTATAAATCGTTCAGTATTAATGGTGCCTTCACAGTTGTGCACGTCATCCATGCGATGTGCACTAATGCACCCCTATAGCATCACAGATACTGGCTTTTGAAATGTGCACTGATAACAAGCTGAGTGGACTTTAGACCGGAGGAAACAGTGTTCATGATTTCCGAAAAGAAATTCAAATTTTGATTTTTTTGGACCACAGGACACTTTTCCATTTCCCCTCAGTCCATTTTAAATGAGCTCTGGTCCAGAGAGGTGGCAGCATTCCCGGATCCTGTTTACATATGGTTTCTTCTTTGCGTTTAAGAGTTTTAATTAGCATTAGTGGATGCAGCACCAAACTGTTTTCATAGCCAGTGTTTTTCAGAAGTTTTTCTGAGCCCATGCAGTGATTTCCGCTACAGAATTGTGTCTATTTTAAATGCAGGGCCTTCTGAGGGCCCGAAGATCATGGCCAGCAAATACTGGTTGTTGGCCTCTTCCCTTGCATACAGAGATTTCTCCAGATTCTCTGAATCTTTTAATGTTATTATGTACTGTAGATTATGAAAAGCAAAAGTTATTTGCTATTTTATGTTGAGAAACGTTATTCTTAAATTGTTGCACTATTTGATTGTGCGGTCTTTCACGGAGTGGTGAACCCCTCCTCATCTTTACTTCTGAAAGACTCGGCCTCTCTGGGATGCTTATTTATACCCAATCATGTTGTTGACCTGTTGCAAATTAACCACCAGGTGTTTTTTGAGCATTACACAATTTTGCCAGCCTTTTGTTGCCCCTGTTCCAACTTTTTTGGAACATGTTGTTGGCATCAAATTCAAAATGGGCATATATTTTTCAAAAACAATAAAATTTCTCAGTTTCAGCAATTGATGTGTTGTCTTTGAGGCATTTTCAATGAAATATAGAATTTAAACGATTTGCACATCATTGCATTTTGTTTTTATTTACATTTTTTATACATTGTATATATACATATAAAAAAGATAACAGCTAATGTAAGTAGTTAAATCTTAACTGAAGAATTTTTAGATAAATCTGTGGACTTTACATGTAAGCACGCAGCAGTTTCTCTGGCTTGGCAAAATTGATGCTGAATGTTGTTTCACACCTAAATTTATCAAGTCATTTATCTCATATGTGGGCCCCCATACATGCATCCACTCACACTTATATCTCCGAGTGTCAGACTCTACGGGAGTTCAGTGAATATTACAGTGGTTCACTCTAACAGTAGCGGCAGTTGACTGTGGATTTCTCAGCTTGGTTGAAGCAAAAGCCTGCGAGAACTCGCTGCTGTCTGACGCAGCTGACTGATGGAGGCGCATCACAGGCGGGGTTACTGGACTCACGGGTCTGGCAAGGGGGCTGCTGTGCTAAAGGCTAAACCAAGGCTAAAGCCTGCCTCCTCAAGACACCATAGATTGTTTCCATATGTCTTTCTAATGTTCACATCCTCAATAACAACCTGGACTAACATTAACTTGGACTGTAACTGACTACTCAATGCTAAATTACTGAAAGAAACCTGACTCAGCCTTTGAGGTAAACTAATACTTTAGAAGCAATTCCAACAGGTATACCACCCACTACTATTAGGCTGTGGGCTAAGTCTTGAAAACCTTCATCATCATAATCATCATCATCATCGTTAACCGCTTAGTCCAGATAGGGTCGCGGTAGCAGTTGGAAGAGCAGAGAATCCCAGATGACCCTGTCCCCCGCAACTTCCTCCAGCTCATTCCCGGGGACCCCAAGCCACTCCCAGGCCAATTTGGAGATATAATCCCTCCAGCAGGTCCTAGGACGACCCCGGGGTCTTATTCCAGTAGGCCGTGCCTGGTACACCCCCACCGGGAGGCGTCCAGGAAGCATCCGGATCAGATGCCCGAACCACTTCAGCTGGCTCCTCTCAGTGCGAAGGAGTAGCGGCTCTACTTCAAGCTCCTCTCGGATGGCCGAGCTCCTCACCCCATCAAATAGAGTGTAGACCGCCACCCTGCGAAGAAAGCTCGTTTCCGCCGCTTGTATCCGCGATGTCATGGAACACGGTCATAAGCCTTCTCCAAATCCACAAAACACATGTAGACTGGTTTGGCAAACTCCCATGCCCCCTCAACAATCCGTGAGAGGGTGAAAAGCTGGTCCATTGTTCCATGGCCAGGACGGAATCCGCATTGTTCCTCCTCAATCTGAGGTTCAACTATTGGTCGAAGTCTCCTTTCCAGCACCTTGGCATAGACTTTCCCAGGGAGGCTGAGCAGTGTGATACCCTGATAGTTGGCACACACCCTCAGAGGTCCATGCACTATTGCTGAGGCGTGTCAGCCACAACAGTCCCACAATATCCAGAGCCTTAAGCATCTCTGGATCTCATCCACCCTCGGTGCCTTGCCACTGAAGAGCTTGCCAACTACCTCAGTGACCTCCACCAGGGAAATGGAGCTTGACACACCAGAGGTCTCATGTCTCCCGGATTAAGGAGTTCCTCAAAGTGCTCTTTCCACCGACCGACAATATCCTCATTTGAAGTCAGAGTTTCTCCACCCCTGCCGAATACAGCTTGGGCGCAGCCACCCCGACCGCTCCTGAGTCGCCGGACAGTCGTCCAGAACCTCCTCGAGGCGACCAAAAGTCTTTTTTCCATGACTTCACCAAACTCCTCCCACGCCCTGGATTTTGCTTCTGCCATCATTGCAGCTGCCACTTTTTTTTGCCTGTCGGTACCTATCTGCTGAATCGGGAGTCCTTTGGGCCATCCAGTCCCTAAAGGCCTCTTTCTTCAGCTTGACGGCCTCTCTCACCACTGGTGTCCACCAGGGTGTTCTTGGGTTACTGCCCTGACAGGTACCAACAAGCTTTTGGCCACAGCTACGCCTGGCAGCTTCCCCAATGGAGGTTTTGAACAGGGTCCATTCAGACTCTATGTCCCCTACCTCCTCCGGGACATGAGAAAAGCTCTCCCGGAGGTGGGAGTTAAAATCATTCCGAACAGGGGCCTCCGACAGTCGTTCCCAGCACACCCTCACTATTCGCTAGGGCCTACCAGGTCTGACCCTCAGTTTTCCCTGCCATCTGATCCAACTCACCACCAGATGGTGATCAGTTGACAGCTCAGCACCTCTTCACCCGAGTGTCCAGAACATATGGTCCCAAGTCAGATGAAACGACAACAAAGTCGATCATTGACCTTTGACCCAAGGAGCTCTGGTACCATGTACTCTTATGAGCATCCCTGTGTTCGAACTTGGTGTTCGTTATGGACACAGAAGGCACAATAACAATTCACCATTTGGGTTTAGGTCGGGCAGGCCGTTCTTCCCAGTCACGCCTCTCCAGGTCTCCCAGTCATTGCCAACATGAGCATTGAAGTCTCCCAGTAAGACAATGGAGTCTGTAGGCGGGACCCTTTCCAGAACCCCACCCACTTGCTCCAAGAAGGCCGAATACTCCGACCTGTTCTTTGGTGCGTAAGCACACACAACAGTCAGAGTTTTCCTCTCTGCGACTTTAATTCGCATTGAGGTGACCCCCTCATCCACCGGGACAAACTCCAACTGCGCTGCCACCAGCCGGGGTCTCGTGAGTATCCTCTCACCCGCCTGGCGCCTCTCACCTTGTGCAACCCCAGAGTAGGAGAGGGACCAACCCCTATCCAGGAGTTTGGTTCCTGAGCCGACACTGTGGGTGGAGGTGAGCCTAACTATATCTAGTTGGTACCTCTCAAACTCCCGCACAAGCTCTGGCTCCTTCCCCCCCCAGTGAGGTTACATTCCATGTACCAAGAGCCAGTTTCTGCCAAAGGGGCCTAGGCCACCAAGGGCCCCTGCAATCTCCGACTGCCTGTACAGCACTGCACCGCTCCCCCATGCTGGACCTTGCGGGTGGCCACATTGCCTCTTCGGGCTGAGCCCAGCCGGATTACGTGGGCTGCCCAGCCACCAGGCGCTAGCCGAGGGACACTGCCCCCAGGCCTGGCTCCAGGGGTAGGGGGCAGGGTACACGATCTTCTGTGTCCATTTTTCATGGAGGGTTTTTGGATCGAGTTAGTCTGGGTCTTCACTCAAGACCTGTTTGCCCTGGGAGACCCTACCAGGAGCATATTGCTCCCGATGACATAGCTCTGAAGATCCCTAGACCACACAAGCCCTTCTGCCACGACAAAGCCCTGATCCAGGAAGGATTGAAAACCTTCATATCTTCAATCCCTGTTGAGGAACTATGTTCTTTTTTGTGTTTACATCTGAAATATTTTTGTTAACAAAAGAAAAATGTTCGCAGTAAAGATTTGTGAACGTTTTTCTAAAACAGAAAGCTGAAATTTTAGTCCGTACAGGCAAAATGCCAGGACAACTACACAGCGAGCTCCAATCAGAGCTCATCTATGAAACATCGAGAGGAGACATGCCAATCAGATTAGTTGTTGAGGCAGGACAAAACTGGTTTTTGAAAAATATATGCCCATTTTAAATTTAAAGCCAGCAACATGTTTTAAAAAAAGGTGGGACAGGGCAATTGGAAAATTTTGAAAAGCCTGCGAGAGTGCATCCAAGGAAACGTGCAGTTATCATTGCTTTGCTTCAAAAGGGCTTCACAGGCAAGGACAAAGCTGCTTTTAAGATTGGACGTAAATCAACCATTTATTGGATCATCAAGAACTTCAAGGAGAAAGGTTCAGTTACTGTGAAGATGGCTTCAGAGCACCCAAGAAAGTTCACCAAGTGCTGGGACTGTTTCCTAAAGTGGATTCAGCTATGGGATTCGGTCACCACCTGGGTTGCTTGCTCATGTAGTGCTCATGGCATGGGTGACTTGCACATCTGTGAAAGCACCATTAATGCTGAACGATATATACAGGTTTTGGCGAAACATATGCTGCCATCCAGACAATGTCTTTTTCAGGGAAGGCCTTGCTTATTTCAGTAAGACGATGGCAAGCCACATTCTGCATATATTACAAAAGTATGGCTCTATAGTAAAGGAGATTGGGTGCTGAACTTGCCTGCCTGCAAATAACAACCTGGATGACTATGCAGATGCAGTCATCTCTTACATAAGCTTTTGTGAGGTGACTTGCATCCGATCAAAGTCAATATGTGCATCGATAACAAACCCTGGTTCTCGCAATGAGTTCAGGAAACTGCACACAGCCAAGAAAAAAGCCTTATAAGAGTAGTGACCGTGACACATACAAAGGGCGAAGCATGGACTGAATAAAGGAGTTAAAACTGCCAAACACACATACAGTCGTGGCCAAAGTTTTGAGACTGACACAAAATTTGGTTTTCACAAAGTTTGCTGCTTCAGTTTGTATGGTGACACTTGGCGTTAACTCTAGATTGTTATAAAGGGTGATCAGATGAATTGCGATTAATTGCAAAGTCATTCCTTGCCATGAAAAATAACTGAATCACAAAAATGCACATTTCCACTGCATTTCAGCCCTGCCACAAAATGACCTGCTAACATCATTTCAGTGATTTTCATCATCTACAGTACATAATTTTAAAAGATCCAGAGAATCTGGAGAAATCTTTGTATGCAAGGGAAAAGGCCAACAACCAGTATTTGCTGGCCGTGATCTTTGGGCCCTCATACGGCCCTGCATTTAAAACAGACATGATTCTGTAGTGGAAATCACTGCATGGGCTCAGGAACACTTCTGAAAACCACTGTCTGTGAAAACAGTTTGTCACTGCATCTACAAATGCAAGTTAAAACTCTAAAATGCAAAGAAGAAATCACATATAAACAAGATCCAGGAATTTTTTTTTGGAAATCATGGACACTGTGTCCCAATGCCAAACCACATTCTGCGTGTATCACAAAAGCATGGCTCTGTATTAAGAGCCCGGGTGCTAAACTGGCCTGCCTGCAGTTCAAACCTGTCACCCACTGAAAACATTTGGTGCATTATTAAATGAAAAATATGATAAATGAGCCCCTGAACTGTTGAGCAGCTGAAATCTTATATCAAACAAGAATGGGAAAACATTTCACTTTCAAAACTACGGCAACTGGACTCCTCAGTTCGCAAACACTTACAGTGTGTTGTTAAAGAAGAGGTGATGAAACACAGTGGTAGACACGTCCCCATCCCAACTTTTTTGGATCATAGTTATATAATATAGTTTGTGCAAGACCCTGTACTATCCCGCTATCTGTATTTCCCTTTTACATGATGTAAATGGGGAGCACAAATGTCATTAAGAGCTAATCGATAGCTTGATTGGTTGGCAATACATTTTTATAATTGTTGTTAATGATAATGTTGATTAGTTGATGCAGCCCTACTGTTTTGAATGATTTTAGATACAAGTTCTGCTAAATAATGTAAATCAATAATGTTGACGTGTGTGTGTGTGTGTGTGTGTGTGTGTGTGTGTTTGTTTGTATGTGTTTGTGTGTGTGTGTATGCGTGTGTGTGCGTGTGTACATACAGGTTTCTCCATCTCTGAAGGTTTTTCCCAGCAACCCTCACTCTCTGCCGTGCAGCAGCTCCAAGATTCAAGCACCCTGGAGTCACAGGCACTGACCTCAACATACCACACGCAAAGTTTACTGACCACTGAGGTACACACTCACAGCTTACTGACTACTAAGGTGCACACTAGGACTGGGCAATGTATTGATTATTTATTATTAGTTATTTTGATAAGTTCACAATTGTTATTTTTGGATCTACAATATTTGGCAGAATTGTGAAAATTGCATGATGTTCATGTGCCATTATGCACATTTTGCACACAAATGAGTTTCCTGTAGACTGTGGCAGTTGTGTACCCCCTTTTGGTCTCACAAACATGTTAAGCCTCATTGCAGAAAACTTTATTCAGGATTGATCAGTAAGTCATCTGTGGTGTAGGCTAGTGACCGCTTCAAGTTGAACTTTTCCAGCTCAGGACACCTGAAGCTCTGTATAAACAGACAACCACGCAGCATAAAACATGAGATACCTTGTACACCAAAACAGGGAGGAAAGTGCTTCTCTGCATTTTAAAACAATTCAGAAAAGTTTGTTGGTTGGTTGGTAAAAAGAGTGTACAGTGCGAACCCTATCTGAAACAGACAGAATAAACAGAGCCCTTTGACTCTTGAGGTTCTTCTGGTTTAACGGTGTGAAAAACACAATTCACACACAGCCTGACTCCCTGCAGGGGCACGAATAAGACAGTACCCAGGAAAGTGACTGTGTATGTATGTGGGTGCATAGTACTGCCCACGTAAAGTATGTTCGGAGAGTGAACATGTGGTTTGTTTACAATGGTAAAGCAGTGTAAATCCCTACTTTACAATTTATTTAATTTGATTACAATTTTTTGGGATTTTTACATTTTTATACATTGTGTATTTTTATGTATTTATTAATGTATAGCGTTATAAAATCAATGCAGTTAAATCACCAGACCTCACTTTTAACAAAAAGATGCATTTAGGTCAGACTCACTGTCTAAAAGAGCCTGTCTGCTGTATTTCGAGAAATACATAAGGCTTTATTAGCAAAATGTGTAAACATTACATAGACTTTCTAAAATTCTTAATATTCTATTTAGAAATTTTAAACAGTTTCATAACTATTTCATTTTTAACTGTGTGTGTGCGTGTAGACTGCTGGCTTACTGCACGAGTCGACTGAGGGGCAGCTGCATTTGATCAGGCAGACGGACCAGTACCAGGATGAAGAGGAGAGCAACAGGAGAGCCTACAGGTGGGGAGATACATACATACATACATACATACATACATACATACATACGCTCACACTTCCTCAGACAACCTCGAAAGTTATGATAGTATTAGTGACGTTAGTGCTGATGTTGGCTGATATTAGATCTGGATCACAAACTCAACTCATTTGAAATGTGTTCAGTGGAGCATCATCACTTTATCCAGAAATGTTATATGGAGCTTCATTACTCCAACTCATCTAAGAGTATTCAGTGGAGCTTCATTACTCCAACTCATCTAAGAGTATTAGGTGAAGCATCCTCACTCCAACTCATTACAAGTGCGTTTAGTGGAGCTTCATCTCCAACTCATCCTACACATGTTCAGTGTAGGATGATTCCAGTTCGTCCCAATCTTGTTCAGTGGAGCTCCAGCACTCCAGCTCATCCCAAACATGTTTAAAAGAGCTTCATCACTCCAGCTTATCCTAAACATGTTTAGTAGAGCTCCTTCACTCGTACTCATTCGGGTTCAGGGTGTTGGGTGAGGTAAGAATAGTGCAGATGGTGTTATATTGGGTGATGTTTGCTGTAGTTCAAGGAGATGGCTCAGGAAAGTGGATTCTTTTGTTTTGTAGGAAGCAGATGCTGTTCAGGTTTATTGGTGTCGCACGAAACACAGCAGCACCATAGAAAACTACTGTGACTGACACTGGGGAGATAATTGGATTGGAAACAAAAACAAACATCTTGGCTGATCTTGCAGTTCAGTGTAGCTCATGCTGTAAAAATTGCTTTTCTATTAACAAATATGCCATTTTCTTTGAGCTATTACAATAGTGTAATACTAGAAACATATCATGTTCAAATTTCTTTTGTTAAATAATGGCATTTTGTAAAAAAAAAATTGTATAGTGTGGCAGTGTTGGATGGATGGATAGTAGGTAGGTAGGTAGGTACATAGATAGACAGACAAACAGATGGATGCCAGTTTGTGGTAAGTCAATCAAATGTATGAAAATGAACTGCACAATATCACAAATTACTGAGCAGTCATTTCTTTAAAGCATGTTTTAAAACTAATTGTTTTAGAGGAACAAAAGGTTTATTCTACATGAACTGAAAAATATAAACATATAAAATATACTTTTACAATGAACTATTAAATCTAAAAAGAATAAGATTCTTTGCAAAGCTGTAGATGGGTAATTATGAAGATTTCTTATTAGTTTAAAATAATCAAGTTTGAATCTGATTTAAAAAGGATTCTTTCAGTAAGTCTCAGCTTACTCAGATTATATTTACAGTGATGGCCAGAAATATTGGTACCCTTGCAGTTTTCCAGATAATGCATTATTTTTCCAGACAGTGGTTAAAATTAAAATGCTTTGTTGTTCACAAAGGGTGTATGTCCTTTATTTGTATTGGAACAATACAAAAAAGCTGAGAAGAAAGTTGTATCTGATCTTATCCCACAAACAACTCTGAAAATGGATTAGACAATATTATTAGATTTTACAGAAAGAGATAATTGGATTTCAAGTGGGTAAACCTCCATTAATTCATAATTAAACAAATTTTTGTTATTATTACTGGTGTGGGCAATATAGAAATCATTGTTTTAACCAGTTTAAACAGAGAAAAACGTGTTGTGCATCTGTGTGTATCACACTGAGCATGGATAACAAAAGAAGAGGAAATAATTGTCTGAGGATTTGCAAAACACAATTGTAGAACAGCATGGGCACTATGAAGGCTATGAAGTCCATCTCCAGAGATTTTAATGCTCCTGTGTCCACTGTATGCAGCATCATCAAGAGGTTTGCAGCCCATGACACTATAGCTAACCTCTCTGGATATGGACAGAAGAGAAAAGTTGATGGATTGCAGCAAAAGTTTGTTTGAATGGTCCATAAAGAACTTTGATAAACTTCCAAGCAAATTCAAGCTGAGCTGCAGAAACAAGGTACAACAGTGTCATTTCGTACTGTCTGTTGTCATGTGAATGAACGGGGACACTGTGGTAGGAGGCCCAGGAGGACCCCACTGCTGACACAGAGACATAAAAAAGCTTGACTGGAATTTGCAAAAACGTACCATAGGAAGCCAATATTTTTCTGGCAGAATGCCCTGTGCATAGATGAGACCACAAAAGTTTTTGGGAAAGCACATCTTTGTACTGTTTTCAGAAAATGAAATGAGACCTCTAAGAGAAGAACATAGTCCCTGTGGTCAAACATGGAGGAGGTTTACAGATGGATTGGGTTTGCTTTGTTGCTTCTGGCACCAGGTGTACATGGCATCATGAAATTTAAACACTACCAAAGAATGTTGGTTTGCAACGTAGGGCCCAATGTCAGTAAGATGAATCTTTGTTGGATGAACATGAAAAGCACCAAAAAATGGTTCAAGACAAACCACTGGACTGTTCTGAAGTGGAGTCAGGATCACAGACCAATAGAAAAATTGTGGAGAGATTTCAAAGCAACTGCTAGGAGAAGGCACCCTTCAAATTTGGGAGACCAAAATTTGGAGCAGACTGCAAAAAAAAGGGCTCCAAAGTTCCAGTACAGAGGTGCAAGACACTCATTCATGGCCATAGGAAGTGCCTGATTTCGGTTATTTCCAAAGGGTGCGCTAGCAATAATTTTGTCCATGCCATTTTTTAATTTTAACATTTTTTCCTGTTTTTTTTATTTTTTATTTTTGGAATCTAGTAAGTTTACAGTGGACAAAGTGTACTATTTTTAGTGAAATAAAGTATTGTAGGAAGATTCAACTGTTTTTGGATTGAATCAGATTATTTTATAACAATTTGTGAGTTATTTTGATGAAAAGATTTTGAAAATGATCTACGTTCAAATGCGTACGCATTTTCAATTCAACCTTAATCAGCTTGTTTTGAGCCATCTGAAGTCTGTTCTTAATGATTTATGAAGAGCTGCTCTGCTAGAAAATGGCTGTAAAAAGATGTATTCAAAGACTGGTCTATAATGTCTCCCTTCTATGTACCCTTCTTAAAGAGAGAACAGTTTGTACACTCTTAAAGGGAATGTCTGATTATTCTGCATAATGAAATCCTTGAGATGTAAACAGTGTCATTCAGAGTGGTTTGATGTGAAATGCTCTGTTCTAGAGAAACTTACTGAGTCAAATTTGTTCACAGTGGTGGTGACAGGAACCAGACATTTGAATATTGTATTTGTAGCACTGTATTTTTTCCTGCTCTGCTCAAATGACGAATTCTGCCTCTATAGCCACAAATAAGAAAATCCTTAAATTAGGCGTGCGTCAATACATGGGGCCAGATGGAGGAATAGATTTATAATAATACAGAAAATAAAAGGATAAACACCAACAAAACTGAAGAATTCAAAAAGTATTAAGGATCACAAGTATCCCTTTTTGATACCTACAGGGATCAAAAAGTAAAAACAAAATGAATTTCCCTTTACCTCCCTTGCAAAATGATTCGTCCATTATAGGTTTACTTGGAAAAGTCCTTGTTTTTCAATCTCTGTGATCTTTCTGGACCTGTAGTGTCTATACCACAGTGCTGCAAATTATAGATCGGATCAGAAACTATACAGGCTGTGTTAATGCTGCAGCTGAATCCCATAGTTCCATTGAATACTGAAAACAGTGCATACTACACACCCCAGTCAGTTCAATTTACATTTCTGCTTTCAGTCCTTCCAGCAGTAATGCACTGGTTTTAAAACCTCTGACTTCAGGTACAGTCGTGAAAAAATAGGACACTCCATGAAAACATTTGCCTTTTTTTAACATATTTAAACATATATATATATTTTTTTTTAACAGTGTTGAGAGATGGAGGTAATATATCTAAACAAATAAAACTGAAGAAATGTCTTTGAAAAATAATTTGTAAGATGTATTTAATAGAAATACAATTTTCTTTTGAAGAAAAATTTAGGATGTCCCACAGTTATTACTACTTAAAATGCTTAAAATTTTAATCAGGTGCACCACATCAGCTGCAAATGATTAGAACATTGTAAGTATTAAAGAGCGGATTATAAAGGAGCCTGTCTTATTTAAACCTCAGATATTTAGTTTGGTTTGCTCTTGATCGTTGAAGTAAGTGGTGTTACAATGGCGAGGTCCAAAGTGTGGCCTCTGAGGCCTTCAGAAAGAAAATGAGTGTCTTAAATAAGCTTGGGCCCAGAGAAGTTGGCAGTATTTCTGGATCCTGTTTATTTATGTTTATGTGCTTTTGTATGTTTTGTGAGTTTTAACTTGCATTTGTGAATGCAGTGACAAACTATGTTCACTGACAGTGGTTTTCAGAAGTGTCTGTGAGGCCATGCAGTGATTTCCACTGTAGAATGCAGTTGCCCGTAATGAGACACTGCCTTTAAAAAAGAGCACTTTAGGAAAACTCCAGGTAGATATGGTCTCCCAAGTGAGGGAGGGGGGTTCCTTTTCCATTTCCTTCAGTATCCACTGAGAATGCTACAGTGAAGCTCCGCAAACACAACCAACCCCACAACTTCCTGTTTTTATACCTTAAATCATATTGCTCTCTCTTCACCTTTTGTTATTTCAGTTTCAACAGTTTATTGTGTGCTTTTATTCTGCAGGTGCAGTATGTGTGATAAAGGCTTTAAGAAGTCCAGCCACCTGAAGCAGCATGTTCGCTCACACACTGGCGAGAAACCATACAGGTGTAACCTCTGTGGTCGGAGCTTCGTTTCCGCAGGAGTGCTCAAATCCCACCTAAATACACACACAGGTGAGGAGCATGCTAGGAGAACACACAAAGGGGTCTGTATTTGTGTGGGCCAGGGGTTCTTGACCTTTTTAACAGTGCGTCCTTTTTTTTAGTTAAAAATAATTCATGACCCCTTCTTTGCCAAACCAACCACGCTGCCTTTTGCAAAACTATGCGTCTCTACCTGTATTGGAGAGTGGTTGTGATTGTGTCTAAAAACAGGCTAAAATTGCACAGTGTATTCTTTGAGGAATATACTAAGGCAGAATGTTTAAAGTGACAGACAGCTTTGTGCCCTTCTCAATGTGAGCAGACCCTCCTTCGCTGCCAGCTTGAGTTGTTTGTTCATTAGCGTGGCAGCATACACTAGGCTTATGTCACAAATCAAATATCAGCTGGTACTGAATGTTGGCATTAGTGCATTTTTAGTCCAGTACAAGTAAATGAGCACGATATTAGGCTGATATCAGTATCGATGCATTCCCACATACCAGTATACACCTTAAAGAAATTACAGAAGAATAATCAAGTAGTAAGTCTACTCACCACTGAAGGAATGATCTGCTGTGTTAAATGCCATCATATTCAGTATTGTGAGTCAGGATCAGATTCTGATAATAGTGAACTACCTGAACTGCAGTGTACTCTGCTGTTAAGGACTGTCAAATACTTGGCCACAGGAGGAGTACGTCTGAAAGACCTACGTGTTCCCCTTAGGTCAGCGCAGCTTGATAAATTAAGTAAGGATTTTAAACATCCATGGGTTGTGGGTACTGTCACTTCCAGATGTGTGCGTTGAAAAGATGTGGCACAAAATGAGTTATGTATTAAGTAATACGGCTACAATATGCTCCGTGTTAATCTGTGTTAACTCTGTTTTCTTAGCCAGTGAATGTTTTGGTAGAGTGTTTTTGTGGGAAAGAATTTCATTTACTAGCACTGTTCTCTCTTCAACACCTCATTTTCTGCTTTTTTTTCTCGAGCTTGTTGATGGCTGTCTTATTTCACTGCCTTTTTTAACCCTGCAGGTCATGAGCAAGCAGTTACCAGGGCTATGCGCAATTTATACGTAAGCATCTAGGGCTGCAACTATTTTCATAATCGATTAGTTGGTCCATTATGACTTTGATTAATCGATTAGTTGAAAAGTGAAATGTGTTTTTATCAATCCACAGTCAAATACTGAAAATAGAGTTTAATAAGAGGTTTACTGAGTGACTTAAAGCTCTGTTTTCTTGTGGACGGGAAGCCAACTAATCAATAACTTTATTCATTGCCAACAATTTTTAATTATCGTTGTTGTGTCGATTAGTTGTTGCAGCCCTGTAAACGTTAATTAATGTTGATGAATGTTATTGTAATCCTTTAAAACAGGTTGTAACATTTCATAATTGATGCTGTTAAATCACCATCTTCAGTAAAATGCATCAGTAGCATTGTGTTTGGGTTATAGGAAAGGGAGCTGCAATATTCTTCCCAAATTACAGATCATAGTCATATCCCAAATCTTCATACCCTTCTCTTTCTCTCTCTCCAGGTGTGAAAGCTTTTAAATGTAATGTGTGTGACTCCTCGTTCACCACTAATGGCAGTCTGAATCGGCATATGATCATCCATCTGAACACCAAGCCCTTCAAATGCTCTCTGTGTGAAGAAAGCTTCCGCACACACTTGTTACGCAGGAAACACATGAAGCTTTTCCATGCCATTGGGCCCAGAGGTAAAGACACTCAGGAATGGGCAAACATAAACAGGCCTTTATCTGTTAAATCTTGTTGAGTCTCAACTGCTTTAAGATTAGGGAAACACTAAGATAAATTCAATAGATATTTAGTTGAATGTGCTTTAAAGACAAGGTGAGCTAAAATAGTTTACAGAGGACCATTCAAATAAAATGCTAGCTCATTTATGCCTTCTTAGGGACTTAAATGATGCTGAACCAGATGCCCAACTTTTTGAATGATATGTGGTGTTTAGTCAGTGCTCCAGTTCTGACCAAGTTGCAAGATTGTGTTACAGGGATAGACAAGGTACAGGATAAGAATACACGACAGAGGGTACAGGATGACTACAAGGCAAGGGTACAGGACAGAGGGTACAGAACAAATACAAGACAGGTTATGGGACAAGGGCACAAAATGAGTACAGGACAAATGGTACAGTGGTACAGGACAAGAGTACCAGACAGAGGTACAAGACAGAGGATAAGAGGACCCAGGTACAGGCCAAAGGATGCAGGACAGGTATATAGGGTAGAGACACAGCCAGGGTACAAGACAAAGGGTGCACAAACATACAGGTCAAGAACACAATACCAGAGTACAGGACAAGGAGACATTGATTATGGAAAAATATTAACCGTCTGTATACTTAAGTGCTCATGGGCCTCTGGCTCCCAGGGGCCTCAGTGGGCATCCGACCACATGGCTTGGAGATGAAACTTGGAAAAAAAAACAGATAGACTAGCAGCCTTTGAATATGTACAAATTACTAGATAAATTAAATAAATGAAAAGATAGTTATCTGTCCAATTATACCATATACTAGGGCTATTTTATGTCAAGTTTTAGATCATTATTGACTTGTGGCATGTTGTTGTTGCCATTCCAGTGAAATACTTTAGATGATGTAATAGAAGTGACAGTTTGTCTTCAGACAATTTTAGTGGACACAATAGGCTTTTCATGGTGTTCTTTTACTTTATACTTTTTTTGAGTTGAATTTCTGTATTTGGATTTGCATTTCGGTATTTTCACAGATGCTTTATTTTTGCAGTATTAAGGAATCTACAAAAATGCTTGTGCCCAGGAGCCTTGCAAGACTATGATCTGTCCCTGTACAAGGACTGGCTTGTTTTTGGTTGCACCAGAAAGGAGAAATTTTCTCCTCCCACAGATAGAACTCAGAAAGATGTGGCAGCAAAGGGAGTGGAAACAAACAAGTCAAGATAATTAGATCAGTCAGTTGAAAGACAATAGATTAATTGATTACATAATCGTTAGTTGTAGCCCTACTCAGATAATCAGTATGTTGATTATTTTTTCTGACGGTTGCAGTGCTGGATGGAGAAGAAGCAGGTGAGGAGGACTCTGGTGCAGATCACTCTGTGAAGAGAAATCGGGCAGGCATTATCACTTTTACAGAAGAGCAGACGGCCGAGCTGGCCAAGAGGGATCCAGGAGATGACGCCTCTGTCTCTGAGAAGGTTCTTGTCCAGTCAGCCGCAGAGCGGGACCGCATCAGTGAGATGAAAGACAAGGCTGTGGTTTTGGATCTGGAGCCCAAATTTGCCAATCGCTGCCAGTACTGCCCAAAAAGCTTCAAAAAGCCCAGCGACCTGGTCAGGTAATGAAGGTGCCACAAATAGAGTGAAATATTTGTCTGAACCTGATGGGCCCCTGTATTCCTAATACAAACAGCCATTTTTAACAGCCAAGAAATGTATTGTTTCAGGAGATATTTCTGAGGAAATTAAATAAAGAAGGGAAAACACAAATACAAATAAGTTCAAAAACAAAAGTTTATAAAACTGGAGTCCAAAATTGATTAAAAGATATAGAGAACATGGGACTCGTAATAACTGTGCAAGGCCTGGTAGATCACCAAAAGTGTCACTGTCAGATAAACAGTACTGAAAGCTTTTATCTTTGAAGGATAAGGAGAAAATCATGTTCCACTCTTGCTTCAGATCTGAAAAATCCACAGGTGTTTCTGTCCATCCTTCCACTACAAGAAGACTCCATGCTTTGCGTCTGAATCAGTGTATAGCTGTCAAGAAGCCATTACTGAGAAAAGGAAATAGATGAAAAAGAGCATCTGCAAATCAGACAAAGAAGATGCTAGTGTTTTTAGAACAATGGACTAACCACCCCAGAGTCCAGACCTTAACATCACTGAATGCTTTTGGGATTACTTGGATCATGGGAAGCAGAAACTTAAACTGAACTCTGCTTTTTTCCTGACACTGAAAAATGTATAACTTGTACTTAATGGCCATTTTAAATGGAAATTAAATAAAGGGTATTCTCTGATTTCTGCACACTACTGTAGATAACAAGTAAAGTGGTTTCTGACATAGTATGAAATACAGTTATTCATAGAAAGGGTAAAAGTGCGGACAAAATTTTGGCTTCAAGATTGCTGCTATGACTTTATCAAATTTGTGACTTTTGTCCATTTTTATAGATCAATGTGTCATATAGTGTGAGAAACTACATAAGCAAGTCTATTTTAGATTGCTTAACAGCTCAGTGTGGTTTAAGGCAAGTGGATGATGATTTTGCAAACTGCTAGCTAGTGTGTTACAAGTGTCTATTACTTGTTAACTACCAAAAATTTACAGTATCTCACAAAAGTGAGTACTCCCATCACATTTCTGCAAATATTTTATTATATATTTTCATGGGACAACACTATAGAAATGAAACTTGGATATAACAAAGTAGTCAGTGTACAACTTGTATAGCAGTATAGATTTACTGTCCTCTGAAAATAACTCAACACACAGCCATTAATGTCTAAATAGCTGGCAACACAAGTGAGTACACCTCACAGTGAACATGTCCAAATTGTGCTCAAAGTGTCAATATTTTGTGTGACCACCATTATTATCTAGCACTGCCTTAACCCTCTTGGGCATGGAGTTCACCAGAGCTGCACAGGTTGCTACTGGAATCCTCTTCCACTCCTCCATGATGACATCATGGAGCTGGTGGATGTTAGACACCTTGTGCTCCTCCACCTTCCGCTTGAGGATGCCCCACAGGTACTCAGTTGGGTTTAGGTCTGGAGACATACTTGGTCAGTTCATCACCTTTACCTTCAGCTTCCTCAGCAAGGCAGTTGGCATCTTGGAGGTGTGTTTGGGGTTGTCATTATGTTGGAAAACTGCCATGCGGTGCAGTTTCCGAAGGGAGGGGATTATGCTCTGCTTCAGAATGTCACAGTACATGTTGGAATTCATGTTTCCCTCAATGAACCACAGCTCGCCAGTGCCGGCAGCACTCCTGCAGCCCCAGACCATGATGCTACCACCACCGTGCTTGACTGTAGGCAAGAGACAGTTGGTGGTACTCCTCACCAGGATGCCGCCACACATGCTGGACACCATCTGCGCCAAACAAGTTTATCTTTGTCTCGTCAGACCATAGGACATGGTTCTAGTAATCCATGTTCTTGACTGCTTGTCTTCAGCAGACTGTTTGCGGGCCTTCTTGTGTGTCAGCTTCAGAAGAGACTTCCTTCTGGGACGATGGCCATGCAGACCAAGTTGATGCATTGTGCGGCGTATGGTCTGAGCACTGACAGGCTGACCTCCCACTTCTTCCACCTCTGCAGCAATGCTAGCAGCACTCATGCGTCTATTTTTTTAAGCCAACCTCTGGATATGACGCTGAACATGTGGACTCAACTTCTTTGGTCGACCCTGGCGAGGCCTGTTCCAAGTGAAACCTGTCCTGGAAAACCGCTGTATGACCTTGGCCACCGTGCTATAGCTCAGTTTCAGGGTGTTAGCAATCTTCTTATAGCTTAGGCCATCTTTGTGGAGAGCAACAATTCTATTTCTCACATCCTCAGAGAGTTCTTTGCAATGAGGTACCATGTTGAATATCCAGTGGCCAGTAGGAGAGAATTGTATCCAAAACACCAAATTTAACAGCCATGCTCCCCATTTACACCTGGAACCTTGTAACTCTAACCAGTCACATGACATCAGGGAGGGACAACGACACAATTAGGCACAATTTGGACATGTTCACTGTGAGGTGTACTCAGCTACTTAGACATTAATGGCTGTGTGTTGAGTTATTTTCAGAGGACAGTAAATCTATACTGCTATACAAGCTGTACACTGACTACTTTGTTATATCCAAGTTTCATTTCTATAGTGTTGACCCATGAAAAGATATAATAAAATATTTGCAGAAATGTGATGGGAGTACTCACTTTTATGAGATACTGTAAGTAATCAAACAAACTCTACTCTGGTGTGATTTTGTACCCGTGTGACGTCTTACAGTACTGTGTTCTCCTGCATCTCTCAGACACATCCGGATCCACACTGGAGAGAAGCCATATAAGTGTGACGAGTGTGGGAAAAGTTTCACAGTGAAATCAACGCTGGACTGCCATGTGAAGACACACACAGGTCGGTGGTGCGGCTGAGATTTAAAATTCAAAATGGATTATTTGCATTTACAAGCACTCCAGCTGGCTTCCTCAAACACTATAAAGTCGCAAAGCTGAAGTCAGTTTCTCGTTCACCAGCTTCTTATTCAAATTTTCCCATTTCACCTTAAATGGTGCAGCATTTACATTCTGGCGCATCAGGTGCCATTTAAGGTGAAATGAGAAAATCTGAACAAGAAGCTGGCGAATGAGAAACGACTTCAGCCTCATAAAAAATTTTATGTTGAGAGACGTTTTACAAGAAACTATTTTACTTTTGTTTCCTGCCGGAGATGCAAGAAAAGCAGCAATAGTTGTGCAAAACCTTAAAGCAGAGCAAAGTCTGCATTTTTGTTAATATATTTTTAATATATTTTTTAGCTCATACTAGGACATTAGCACATACTGAGACATATTTATAGCCAAGATGGTAAAATGGATATAAAATGTTGCCACATGGTGCATGAATGGTAGACATGAAACTTACTCCAAATCTATGATGCTTTAACACGATAATGAAAAATCGGTTTTATATCTACCTGTTGGAAGGAAGACATTTGATTGGAAAAAGTTTGCATTTTTCAAATGGGAAGGCAAAATTGAAACCATATGGATGTCCAAATTGTTAAGGCATAAAAAGTCTATAAAATAAGATAATAAGAAATTGCCCCAGAGATGTTCGATGTAGTTTCTTCACTTACATAACAGACACGATATAGAAACCCCCACCAGTGGTGAGATGAGGGATCTGGTGAGGTGGATTGTGAGAAAAGGTACCAGTGGACACACCCCTTAAAGAAATTGGAATAGGCCCACAATATTTATGATCAGTGCATCCCTAGTGATGATATTTGTGTGTGTGTGTAAATGCAAAGTGACCAGTTCGGCTACATTCCACCCACAGCTTTTAAAATTGTTTCTGGCTGTGATTTTTAACCCATATTTTCCTTACATTTGTGCTTCACATTCCTTACATTTGTGTTTGTTGTAAATCTTTTCTGTACTAATCAAGAGAGTCAGATGACACTAGAGACAATGATAAAGATCTTTATTCGAGAGCATGCTGTCTATCAGTCTGCAACAACCCAGCCTTTGTAATAAGAGCACTTGGTCCATTTTTTTCTTCCCCTCTCCCTATTTATAAAGTGTCCTTGGGTTTGCAAAAGTTGCTATATAAGTTGAATTCTTCTTCCTTTTCTTCTTCTTCTTCTTCTTATTATTATTATTATTATTGTTATTAGTATTATTATTACCGGCAGTCGCAGTCTGGCATCATCCAACACGTCAGTCTGAACAGATCTTTAAGATACATCATTATATAAGTTTTAGTAGCTAGCACATCTGTTTCTGTGACCCTCAGAGACAGGCAGTTTTTGGTGTAATGAGATCCAGTCAATATCTAGATTTAGATCTTTTGGGAGGAAAAATTAGTGTGTCTTGATTGGATAAATGTATGAGTATTAAAGAGAATTCTGATTTTGCAAGACATATTTTGCATAATTCAGTAATTTAGTCGCAGTGCGTCTGAATCAGAATTGTTTACAGCGGTGGGGATAAGAGCCAGACATCTGAAGCTTTTAATGCCTTGAGGTTTTGGGCTAAAACTGCATTAATTGTCAGTATAATATTACATAATAATATTAAGCAGAAACGCCACCAAGTATCAGGTAAGTCATTAGGTGTAAAATGGCATCACAAAGTACAGAGATAGTTTTCTGACGTAAATGGTCAGTACCCAGTAAAACCAGTACGAATCTTTGCTTTCTTCAGCCCAGATTTTGTTCTAGGTAATAGACAGGTATGTACTAAATAAACCACTCAATACTTTTTACCCAAAATAATTACACAGTACTGTAAAGTTTGTACCACATACTTACACAGTTAATACCTAGAACCTGTTGGGCATTTCAGTGTAATTTAGTTAGACCTCCTCAGAGGTCTAAGTGCTATCATGTTACTCAAAATAATTACCTAGTACTTTGATGGTACCTCACACATACCTGGTTAATACCTAGAACTTAAGGGACTGTAAAAGAAAGCATTACCCAGGGTTACAGGGTACATTCCAGATAAGCCATTAAAGTGGAACTCCACTGATTTTGCAAAATTACTTAATCATTTAATGGTTTAGATGGTTTGATGTGAAATGCACCTTTCTAGAGAAATTTACCGAGTCAGAATTGTTCACCGTTATCGTACTAGGAGCCAGACATCTGTATGTCTACAGTACAAATATCACCATTTTATCTGCTATCTAAATGACCAGTAAACCAGTATAAGGTTTTATATGTTGCGTTGATAGTGGTAAAATAGTGAAATTTGAAAAAATATGTTTTTTGGGTATTTGGCTATTTTTTCATTACAACACCTGAAGTTGTGGCTAATTGTTTTGAAGTTACACATAAATACCAAAGTCGAACAACTCTCCAAACGCAATAAAAAATCTATCTACCTCGATATCCTACCCCATAAACTGGTGACCAGAGTAGCAAGTAGTTTGTTGTTGACACTGTCAATTTCGATTAGTTTTGGGTTGTTCTCCTTTGGCGCCTGTGGGTTCTGTCTCTCTCTCTCCCTTTTGGCTCTCTCTTCTTCAAGTTGCTGCAAGTCATTTGTGTGTTCTAGTTCAAATTGATATGGTTCTGCGATACTTTGGAAACAGACCTTATCGAAGTGCTCGACATACTTGGCCATCTTCAAAAATAGGTAAAAAAAACTGTAAAAATAAACTGTAAACATAAGCTTTTTGTGTTCAGCTTGTAGACCATTAAATGCTTTGGATGTCTGGTTCCTAGTTCCTACTATAATGGTGATCAATCCTGACTCGTTAAATTTCTCTAGAAAGGAACATTTCACACCGAACCACTCTGAATGATTTTGTTTACATCTAAACCATTGAGTGATATAGTCGATGGAGTTCCCCTTTAATTTACGTTCATGGAAGTAATACCATTGTAAACAGTGGACTTGCTCATTGAACTCTGATTTTTTTTCTTTTTAAACTGGTTTGTGTCTGTGCAGGTCAGAAGCTGTTTAACTGTCACATGTGCAACACATCATTCTCTACTAAGGGCAGTCTGAAGGTGCACATGCGTCTGCACACCGGATCCAAACCTTTTAAGTGTCCGTACTGCGATCTGCGCTTTCGTACGTCTGGCCATCGCAAAACACACATCCAGTGCCACTTGCGGCAGGGCCCGGAGGGCAGGAAAATGAGGCGGGGAGGCGAGAGGCCTGCAGGTTCTGCCAGTCAGAACCAGCCTCAGGGCCAGGCTCCTCCAGGGCAGCAGGGTTCCACAGCCCCAGAAACACTGCCCCCTGTTGGCCTGCTGCATACTGCACCCACAGACCCCAGCATCTACATCCCCACCAATCCCGTCCTCACCGGCCAGTACGAACAGACACTGCTGCAGCAAGGCATCGTGGGACAGGCCATATTGCCTGCCACCATGTCAGGTAATGTTCATCTACACAAATTAAATAAACACACACACATAATGAATACACATTCATCCTATCCCCAGACTGTTTTTTTTTGGTAAAGAGATCTTATTATGCATATGTGAACATATGTGCACGTGTCTTGTCATAGTATTAGAGGCAAAAACACGTTCTTGACATAACGTTTGTTAATCAAAATCCTAATCATTCTGATTAACAAACATTAATACAATTTCTTCCCCCATGTGTTTTTGGACTTAATCTATGCTTGTGACATAAAATAATGTACCATCAGAGTCACAGTAGAGTGTACAGTTGCAGTGGAGTGGCAGTGAAGCTGCAGTAAAGTAACAGCAAAGAAACAATAGAGAGGCAGTAGAGCAGCAGTAAAGTGACAGTAGAGTATCAGTAAATAGAACAGTACAATAGAAGTATTTATGTACTTAGAGTGGCAGCAGAGTAGCAGCAGAGTAGCAGTAGGACCTATTTTATTGCTGACATAAAATGTTAGTACTGTTATAGTAGCAATGGAATGTCTGCAGAGTCTCAGTAAATAAACAATAGTGTGGCAGGGTTCAATAATGTGCACAAAATGCAAGACAGGTGGCCAAAGACAGGTGAAACAGTTTTGTTTTTTGTTTTTTTCTCCTCTGAATAGAAAATCATGGCTTTATACATATTCATTGTTTTTGAATACAAACATGCAGATTTTTTAACGATACATGCCACTGGTCTTGAATGCTACTATATTTACAGGGCATGACAAGAAAATGAGCCTGTTGGCTTATTGTGTATATCACAAAAAGCCTAACTGCTGGTTTACTGTAAGTGTCAGATCTTTTTCCTTCCATATTGACGTTTATTCCCTGTACAGGAAGTGTTAACTTGTTTTCATTTAGAAAACCAACAAAATATGTAATTTGACTGGGGTGTTCAAACTTTTGCATACAACTGTATTTGCAGCACACTACGCATGCTAAGCTAAACTTCCAGCAGCTAAATGGCTCTTTAGCACAGCAGTAAAATTTCATGAATTGAGCATTTAATTTGATTGCATTGAGAAGTTAAAACTAGGGGAAATGCATTTTGTAGAGTTTTTAGGCTTGCTTGAATTTGTGGATGCAGCGACATACGTTTTTATTGTCAACAGTTTGTCAAAGTATTCCCGAGCCAGTGTGATAGATATCATCACAGAAGCAGGCCGTTTTTTAATGCAGTGCTCTTGGAGGGGTGGTCCTGGGCATTCATTTGTGCTTCTCGGCCTTGCCCTTCACACACAGATATTTAAGATTCCTTAAATCTTTTAATTATATTTTATCCACTGAGGAGGATGAAATCCCTTCTTGCAATCACTAATTGCAGACTCTTGTTTTTAAACTGTTGTATTATTTTTTGACTCATGCTGACACATAGTAAAAAATGACTGTCCGGCAAATGGAACGGCTGGTGCAAATACATACATTGCGTAAATTGAATAAAGAAAATAACAGAATGGAAGAAAAGAAAGAAAGTGCAAGAAAACAGCATCATAAATCCTGCGTGACAGTAAATAATAGTTCTTTATGTTGTCCAAGTAATCCTTAGGAGCTAGGACAGTGTAGGAAAAAATCTGATTTCTAAATTAAACATCCTTTCTGACTAATAGGAGGAATAGTAAGAGGAGCAGTAAGAGGAAATGAAAATTTTATAATCAAGATTGTGCTCATAGATTTTTCTGTGTACTTCTGTTTATTTCAAATCAGGAGCACCAGTGCTCATTGGCAGCGTTCTTGGCATACCATAGAACCCTATAGAACAGCAGTAAAGTAATAGTAGAGCAGCAATAAAGAGAGCTGCACATTAATAGTATTTATACACATATAGTAGCAGTAGAGACAGAGTAATACAGCTCCAGACAGTGCTATGACTTTCTCACTTGTCCAGTGCTGGACTGTTCCCTCTGCCTGTCAGAAGCTGTCAGATCCATTGCTTTGTTGTCTGTTGAGGCAGACAGATTATAACAGCGGAGAGGGATCATACTTAAGAGATCAGATAACACTATCTGAAGATATAACCATTCATTCAGTTACTGACTTCCTGTCACTGACATTTTGCAGCCTAATTTAAGTAAGGCACATAAATGTCCTTCTGTAGAGATATTTTTTATACAGTAAGTAAAAACACTACCAATTAATTAATTGTTTCATGAGTCAGAACCACCTGAAATACGGCCTTAAAATCCCTTCCCTTTTGTTCATTCTTAGTAGTAGTTGTCATAGTGACACGGCTGTTATGCAGTTTATGGGCTAACTAAGTGCATTAAGAATGAATAGTTTTTATTGATGTTGCTTAATCAAAATGTAATCCTTTATAGTAGTAATGTAAAAAAAGGTTAATTGGAATCTCTTTATGCAAATTTTAAAACATATCCTACCCTAATTACAGGTAGTTGCTACCAAATCCAGCTGCTACTAAAGAGACCAATAGAATAGCATTAATATAGCAATAACTGTGCTTGTGATTTAATGGCTTTATAATTTTTCAGACTAATGTTTGTTTTTGTTCCTGTTAGTGTAAAAGACCAATTTGGTGCAAAGGTAGTTCTCAGTCATGGTCCTGGAGTATCACTCCTCTACTCTTAACTCTCTCAGTTCACCTCAAGAAGGGCTTGTTGGGGAAACTCTAATGTATCATGGCAGTGGTGCTCCAGAACCAAGATTGAGAACCACTGTGCTTATTCTTTAGGTATTTTTAGCCTCAACACTGATTTATTTTCATCAAAGTGTCTTCCTTGGTACAAAGACACAAAGAGCAGGTTTTATGTAAATAATGATTTGACAGTTTTCTGTTCCCAGCTGTTGTGAAATTCTTTTTGCTCAAAACTGGTTTAAACAGCTGAATGCTAATGAGTGCAAAAAGGGGATAAAATGGGTAGCCTATGGCATTATTCCCAAGGTATGGCTTTTGGAAGTTGTTCCTTCAGTTTTACGATTTTTCAAAGTGATAAAATCTAAAGTTTTCTGATACTGGCAATATGCTACATTCTATAAAAAACATTTTGAAAGTGAAATTATCCTAAACTTTGATATTCAGTGAACCATATAACCATATAAGTGAACTATGTAGTTCTACTTTTACATACTGTAGTCCAAGTTGCGAAATACAGGGGCTCCTGGGGTATCTCAAACCCCCTAATTAACCTCTTGGACCCCATGAATGTCTCAAAATCAAAATTCTGGGGGTCCCTGAAAATACGCTTATTTTGACATTCTGCTGTCCATTAGGGGAAAAATAGACACTCAAATACAAGTTCAGGAAAAGGTCATTGTTTATCTTGCTTCACCCACAATCGGCAAACCTCTGTCTTAACTAACTAGAGATGCAGCACGGGCCTGCCTCAGGGTGGCACTGAAGCAAACTGGTTCACCCAGTTGGTCATTTAGAGCCTAGCAACTGTAACTACGCTCAGAACTATACTCAAAAGAAAAGCAAACATTTTGGTGCCATTGATGCTTCCAGGAGCACCGCTATGGTAAGTGCATTAGCAGCCAGCCAATGATAGAGTTGCCAGCCAAAATGGGATCCCTCAAATACCAGGCAGTATTTCACACACTGCTGTAGTCCACGTGTTTATGTTCATACTTTGTTGGCCCCCTTTCACCCTGTTCAATGATCAGAACCCCACAGGACCACCACAGAGCAGGTATTATTTGGGTAGCGGATCATTCACAGCACTGATGATATGAGTGGATCAGGCACAGAAGTGCTGTGAGTTTTTAAACACTTAGACCCAATCCCATTTCACCCCTTGCCCCTACCACTTAGCCCTTAGCCCTCTGTTTGCGTGTTGGCGTCTAGGGGTAGGGTGTCTCAATATTTGTTGAGATAGAGGGGTAAGGCGAAGTGTTAGGGATACATGGCCCTCCAAATGGAGGTTTTTCAGAGTCACACTGCAGACGGAGTGTTACGAGAAAAAAAAAAGAAAAACCGACAAGACACAAGTGACCAAAAAAACACTAGTGTAAGTGTTTTCTCCATTACAAAAATTACAATAACCATTTTGTTATCTTAGATTAATGTCATTTCAATGTATTATGGTCATTTTCTTCATAACAAGCATTAAAAATCACTAATAGCATGCTAATGTCTCGGTAGCTAGCTAGCTAACTTTCCTGTTCCACCTTAAACAGTCCAGCAGTTCTGACACCTGAAGCTTCAGTATTCGTATCAACAAAGAATTAGCGATGGGCAATAATAAATAATTGTGTTGTACCCCCTCTTTGAAGGCATTTGATGCCCTAAATGTAACTAAAACCCAGCAGTGAGATTGCTGAACGTCTCCCTTCTCTGCTATCACTGTAGATGGGCCGGATCGCCTACAGAGCACTGCTAGTAGCCTGTTAATGAAGCAATGTTTTTTTTTTTTTTTTTGAGGGTTGTCCCATTTCGTAGGGCAAGATTTCAACAACTACCCCTTGTAACTCAGTTCCAAGGGGTTAGGGTGACACTCGAAAACAAGGGGTAGGGGTAAAAAGAAGAAATGGGATTGGGCCTCAGTGTCCCTGCTGGGAGTCCATCAAGCAAAAACATCCAGCCAACAGCATGCTGTGACCACTTATGAAGGACTGGAGGAGGACTAACATAAACTGTTTCAACAGATGAGCTATTGTCTCTGACTTGATCTACAAGGTGGACCAAGAAGGTGGGAGTGTCTAATAGTGTGGACAGTGAGTGGACACAGTGTTGGCCACCTACCTTGTTGGTCAAACTTGTAGATGTAAAGACAGAGATCATCTGTTGATCCAGAGGTTGTTTCTCATCTTTCAAGGTGTTTAAAATCTATAGCAGCACGGCTGTGTCTGATCCACTCATACCAGCACAACACACACTAATGCCTGGCCCACACTATAGGATAATTGGGCCAGTTTTGAAGCTGATTTGCTCCTACTAACAACCACAAAAGGTTTCCTAATAACATTGTGATCTTAAATGATGATCTTCCCAGATTATATTGTGGTGTGGGGTGACTATAATTTAATCTTTACTCCTTTGATCTATTCCCAGTGCAGTCGAGGATGGTCCGATTTGTGAATTGTAAATATCAAATATGTTCAATACTTACAGCTGAGTATCTTGTAGTGTGGGGTGGACACAGATTCTCTGCAATATGTATAAGCGTGTTGACCCCTTCTTTTTTTAGCCATGGCTTCATCTACGTTTTTTTTAATTCGCTTGGCTTTTTCTGTGCAAAAATGGCACAACACCAGCAAAGCAGTGGAATTGCTGTCATCCACCGTGTTTGTTTAGATTAAAGGTCACATTAGTTTGCAAGAAATCCTATGATGTAGCAGCCAGCTTCTTGTTCAAATTTTCCTGTTCTACCTTAAGTCGGGCTGCAGTAACATTCTGGTTACATTCTGGTAATAAGAGGAGCATTTGAAACCAGTGCAGCTAGCAGAACATAACAGTCCTCCTGCTTCATGGATAGGCTTTTAAATACACTGAAAAGGTTAAAAGTGCTGACATATGATCGCTTTTTGTAGTTTATATTCAGTCCTTGCCAAAGCCGTAGGTCATGAAGCTAGTGCAGTGTAAGCTAAGCTAAGATTAGCGCTCAGATGCTAACCTGCTAACAGAAATGAATCCTCAAAGCTTTGATGACAAACCACATTAATTACAACTCTACACATTCACACAATAAGTTTACAGCGTAATAGGAGCCAAATATGTAATAAACTTCATGAAATATGTTTTTCATTAGTGAAATAGATATGACGAGGCTGAAGTTGCACCTTAAATAATGCTTTAGTTACATTCTGGCGGCTTAGGCAAAGTATGACTCATATGTTCATGTCACTGATCAGCTTTCAGGATTGGCTAAGAAACATCAGCCAATCGGTGATCGCATATTTGGGCTGAAAATTGGCCGTTATCGATCCGTAGCCGATCAATCCTTCCTACTATGCTGGATTATGCAGTTTATGCAGTTACTCTACTCTGGTTGTTTGCCGGCTGCCTAAAATTGTTCTAAATCTGCCCATGTGTGTGTATTTATGTTGCAGCTGGTGGAGATCTGACAGTCTCTCTGACTGAAGGTTTAGCCACTTTAGAGGGAATTCAGCTACAGCTTGCTCCAGCCAGCCTCCTCTGCCCTAACGTACAGATCTCCGGCATAGACACAACAAATATCAACAACATTACACTACAGGTAACATAGCACAGCAGCAGACCACTTTGTTAAGTTCTGAAGTTAAAATTCCCCCATCTTCCAGTCAGATACACTTTATTCAATTCCAAAGTTAAAATTCCCCCCTGGAAAATGGAAAAGCCATTCGAATAGAAGCACACACTTCTGTGGGAAACAAATGTTTGCTTGTCAGGTTCAAAACAGCAATTAGAGTAAAAACATTTTATAGAGCACTTTTTACTCTTACTGAACAACATGTTGTGAAAAAAATGTTGAAAATCCTCTTTGCCACATAGGTCACGTTGTCAGTTGTTGTCGCCCTTGTTTTATGTTATTGTGTGTGTGCATGTGCATGTGTGCAGATTGACTCCAGTATTCTTCAGCAGACCCTGCAGCAAAGTGGTTTACTCTCACACACCCTAAGCGGAGATTCCCACACACACTCTGCCACACACCTACTGGCGACCGCCGGCGAAGCTTCAGTTCCAGCCAACGTCGTCATCCAGCCAATCAACAGCCTACCTCTACAGTCCCCACCAACTCCAGCCAACGTTGCCATTGGCAACCTCACAGAGCAAGACAACACAGGTCTGACACATACACACATACAAATGTTCTCAGATATCGAAATGGTGAAGCACACTCACACACACACACAGAAATATTTAAAATAGAAATTAAAAATCAAGAGACGGGATGGATTTTTATATATTAGCAGCATATATGTGTATATATATATATGTGTGTGTGTGTGTGTGTGTGTGTGTGTGTGTGTATGTGTATATATGTAAGATGCTAAGAGCACTTACAGAGCTGGACTGTAACTCATTCTCTTTCACACACACATACTCACATTCAGCAGGCTTAAGATTTTTGGGTAGATTGTCTTGAAAATTGCATTTTAATTCAAGTAGTTCAATACCTTGTTTTAGAAGGATTATTATTTTGAAAGTGAGTAAATTAAAATGAAAGAACCTGTAAAATTTATAGGCAGCTCACACACACACACCGATGACATTACCAATTACTAATAGTGATGTGTGTGTTTGTGTGTGTGTGTGTGTGTGTGTGTGTGTGTGTGTGTGTGTGTGTTCTCTGCAGGCTCAGAGCATTTGGCCCAGGTTGTTGGAGGTGGGGCTGGGGGTCCGGAGATCACTCTCACCATCAGCAACTCCAGCCTCACCCAAGCCCTTACACACCCCCACACACACTCTGCCAACACACCAGCCAGCAGCAACCAGGAGATCACACTCACTATATCAGGTGCAGTACACACACAAACACACACACACCAGGCCCCACAGCATTCTGACCATCTGAAAAAAAAAAGTTCATCGATGTCTATGAGAATATTACTAAATATAAGGTCACCATACACAAAGGCACGGAAATCCTGCATAACTTTTTCCACCTTAAATAAATAAAAGAGACTAACAAGCCTCTCCTTGGATCATCACAGATTTTCTACCAAACGGACACTATGGCAACATTTACACAGTTGCTTGCTGCTGTCAATCTTGCAAAAAGGCACTGAAAAACATTTTTTTTCAACAGCAACATAGAAACATAGCATTAGCTTTCCTTACTGTTTCTTTTGACAATGAGAACTCAACTGAGCTATGCCAGCCCCTACAGTCTGCTAGCCAGCAAGTAGGAGTAGATGACCATGGTAAAGAAAACAAAGTTCAGTACTGTAAAACATTAAAAACATGAACATCGCAGTGTTCAACCATTTGCTCTTGTCTGATTTGTCTGATTTTGGCAATAGTGCATGTTATTTTCTAACAACAGCCGTAAACGCTGACAACTTTTCTGGGCTAAAGCTCATCTGACATGGACTGACACAAAGTTGAAACGTTCTGTGGTCTGACGAGTCCACCTTTCAAATTATTTTTGGAAATAATGGACATCATATTCTCTGGACGAAAGAGGAAAAAGACCATCCCTATTGTTACTAATACAGAGTTCAAAAGCCAGTGTCTGCCATGGTGTGGGGTTGTGTTGGTGCCAATGGCATGTGTAACTTGCACATCTGTGAAGGCGCCATTAATGTTAAGTGGGTCAGTATGGCTGTGGATTAGAGCTTGGAGAGTTGAAAAGAAAATTCAGGGCTTTGTTTTATATATATATATATATATATGTGTGTGTGTGTGTGTGTGTGTGTGTGTGTGTGTGTATATATATATATATATATATATATATATATATATATATATATATATATAAAATAAAACGTGTGTGTTTGTGTATATATGTGATATGTGTATATATGTGTGCGCAACATATGAACATGATGATCTCTCTCTCTGTCTTTGTCTAGGTCAAGATCTGCTGGCCCAGTCCTGTGGGAATGCAGGAGCAGAAGTTGGTGGGGCATTGAGACTGACCACACCCCATACCAGTGTCAGCTCTGAGCAGCTCCTCCCACATAGTCCTGCCCCCACTGGTATGGCAGGTGAGAACCACGCCTGTATTGTTTACAAACGTTGTACACATTGTAAACAAATGCACTAGATAATGCTCATGTGGTCTTTCCAACAAATTGTAATACACTACAGCTGTGGTTTCCAAACTGCGGTGCACGTACATCCAGTGGTACAGCAGATGACTATGGGGGTACATAAAAAAAATTCTGTTACCTGGCTGCGCAATAACACAGACAACACTCTCCTGATATAGACAACTCACTGAGACTGAGCGGTGACAAACACATGCTCTAATAGGTATTTTGTTCTTTATGTATTATTATTTGTGTAAAAGAGACGAATGCATTTCAACTACAACCATATATTTTTCAGAAGTATCTGTTGGTAAATTTTACTGAATATAAGGGCTCCGAACAGGAAAACACCAGCGTTTTACTATTTAAGGGAATGTCTTTAAATGCACAACCTGTACATCTGTGAAAGTTTACATTTTAATACATTGAAGGTTATAGAGGCTGTAGTGGTTATTTAGAGTGTGTTATTGTCAGATTAAACAGAACCCCATAAGAATAAATTATTTGTTGCATGAATGAAGCTATGAATGATGACAGCCACAGAGTAAGATATCATTTAAATAAAAGTCAATAGATTCATTGATTATAGAAGTAATCATTAGTTGCAGCCCCACTGAGACTATTGTTATGGTACATTTTGTGCAGTTTTTGTCTTTTAATATCTAGTGTGTGTGTGTGTGTGTGTGTGTGTGTGTGTGTGTGTGTGTGTGTGTGTGTGTGTTACCATAGTTACCACGCTGGCTCCCAGCACCTCTCTCTCCCAGAACCTTGTGATGTCATCAGCAGGCGTGGCAAGTGATGGCAGTGTCACACTTACCCTTGCAGACACACACATGCTGGATACAGTCACACTCAACCTGAACTCACAGGTACACACACAACCTGAACACTGTCAGCCAGACTGATCTGAATCTTAACTAGGGTTGCACTGATACCATATTGGCATCAGGGCTAATACATAGCCTTAATGCACTGTCAGTAAGTACTGGGATTTTTTTTTATTAAAATTGCTTCTAGCTTTTCAACTTTGATGCAATTGAATCACCAACTTTGCATCGGTGCATCACAATGCATTTACCTAGTACACAGATGCACCCTAAGTATAAGTGCGTGTGTGTGCGTGTGTGTGTGTGTGCGTGTGCGTACAGGGTCAGCAGTTTCCAGCTGTGACTGAGCAGGGGTCAGCAGTGCAGCCAGCCAGCAACACACAGCAGGTCATACTGGTTGGCCACCCAGCAGAAAACACACCACATCAGGAGGGACTCAAGGTCAGTGTGTGTGTGTGTGTGTGTGTGTGTGTGTGTGTGTGTGTGTGTGTGTGTGTGTGTGATCAATAAATCTACTTAAAAAAAAGTGTGCTTTCCCCCGGTGAACTGTCACAGCATTCGAGCAGTTAGACCAGTCCCTTGCGAAAATGATTTGCTTGCATGAACACATATACGATGTATCATGACCTCTTCATTCTGATAGAACAGGTGAAGCAGCTCACATGTCTCTACCATCTACATGTTTAGTTGTTGTGGCTGTTAAAATGACAGATTTTTCCTCTGTCACCTCCTTGCGTACTGAGTGTTTTGTTCACCACAGTAACATAAGAACGCATGTTGAGTTTGTGCAGAAGGGCTGTTAATTTGCAATGCATTGTCTGAGTGTGGTCATTTGCATTCACATACTTGCCTTGAGTATGTTTCTGTTCCCCAGTCTCACTGACAGTCTGCCCCTTGTTATCCTGTTTACATTTGTAGAGTTTGTATTAGTCATCCCAGTAACCATTGCCCTAAGCTATGTGTAGGTACATACCTGTGTATTTCTGGGTAGTCCTCGTAGTATATATAGTCCTCTGTATTTATTGTCTCACCCTTATTCCCTGCCATACGTTGTTTATGGTTTATATTTTTCACTCGTGCTCTTTAGTTGTTCCTTTTTGTTGTTTATTTTGCTCCTTATTTTCTAATGTCTGTTAGTTTGTTTGTTTGTTTGCCCTTAAGTTATTTTTCCATTGTGTTTTTTGTGGTTCCCTTTGTTTTTTTATGGATCCTCCCATACTTTCCATTTCGACCTGTACTCTCACTTTTGTGGCATATGTTTGACTGTACATTTAAACTTTGTTTCTGGCACCTGCCATCTATGAACAATTAATCCGAAAGTAGAGCGAGTATAAATGTTGTAACTTACTCCTTACGTGAGCCTGAGAAAATGATGCAAACACAGTTGATGCAATATAATTCTTGTGTTTGAACCAAACAAGATTCAACCTGTAATCTGTTTCTCTACATAATTTATTAGCCCCCCCATTACCCTGTTCCTCATTTCTCTCCACAGAGCAGGTATTTTTTGAGTTATGAATCATTCTCAGCACTGCAGTGACACTTACATTGTGGTGGCATGGTAGTGTGTCTTATGAATGAATAAGATGCAGCAGTGCTGCTGGATTTTTTTTTACATACTGTGTCCCTTCACTGTCCACTGTATTAGACACACCTACCTTTTTGGTTCGCCTTGTATACGTAAAGTCAGAGACAACAGCTCATCTGTTGCTGCACAGTTTGTGTTGGTCATCCTCTAATGGAAAATGGAAATGTGTGTGTGTGTGTGTGTGTGTGTGTTTAGATTGTGGAAGGCCAGGCTGAAGTGAAGGGGTCAGAAGTGGATCTCCAGCTGAATCAGTGTTTTTACTGCAGTCAGACTTTACCCACGGCAAACGCTCTGCGCCGCCACTGCAGGACCATGCATGGCAAGGAGCGCTGCCACGTGTGCCGTGTGTGCAACAAAGCCTTTAAACGTGCAACACATCTCAAGGTAAACATCAGTGCTGCATTTTTTGTTGGTCATTTCACAGTACTGGCCTTTGCAATACTAGCCTTGTTTCTGTGTGATCCAGCAAAGTAAACAATTTTGGTAATACATAATGCAAGTTGATCTCCAATTATGTTGCTAGAAGGAGCTACGTCATACCAGAGGGTTGAAATGACAATTTCTTTACTATCAAAGCCATCTCAGAAAACAAAGCCAGGAAAAAAACATACCAGTGATGTTTTGGGGCATGTTTCAAACTTAAAGAGGAACTCTCTCCCAAGAATCATTGGAAATGCATAACTTTCCCATTTAATCACCCACGTTCACTAGCTCAACTCCTTCAACGGTGGATCTATAACCATCCACTAACCCACCTCCTTTAAACTCACAACAGAAAATGCAGTCTTGCCAACTGGATATACAGAACTAGCCAAAGTAGTGCTTGAAGTTTATTATGACAGAGCAATGCATTTATGACCAGAAAACCATATCATTCAGTTGCAGTTATTAATTGTTATTTACAGCAGCAGCAACTATTTGACTCTTACCTCTATCACAGTCTTTCAGCCTTGTGCGCTAAAGACTGACTTTGTAGTGCAGTGCTGATACAGTCACACCCCCTCCAGCTGTAACAGTCCAAATGAATCAAACTTCGTAGGTTCTCGAATAAAAAAAGCTTGGTATCTTGAGAAACGTCTCATCAGATGATCAAGGCTGTTAGACATTGTGTCTGATCCCCTTTAATAATGCCTTAACTCAATACATGGTTAACAACAGTATTTTTTTTTTAATATAGTTAAGATGTATTAGTCTTTATACAGTTTAGAGCCATCTGTATAGTTCCACCATATAATGTAGATGCTCGTGTGCTGTTATCATGACTCAGTTACTGTAGTCTTCTCATTCAATCACGTCTTTTTAAATGGCTGGTTCCACTGACTACCCTCTTCGTAAAACCAAAGTAGTTTCAAGTAGGGATGCATCAATACCATTTATTTCAGACTGCATACAAGTAAGAGTTCCTGGTTTTAGAACTCACCAACTCATCAGAGTTATAGAATGGATCTAGTGTTTTAAGGCTACTTGTAGACGCATGTCTATAGATTACATCACTGTAGTCTAGGATGGATGATAAAGTAGTGTCCAAGATCCTTTAACTAGTGTGCATTGGGAAACTTGTCTTATTCCAATATAAGTATCTAAACTTTTGTCTACATTTACTGATGAGCTTACTAATGTGATATTTTAAATGTAAATTTATCCTCCAGCCATATGCCAAGGTACTTGCATTCTGTGACTTTCTCAATACTGGATCCCATGAGGATGTAGATATTCAGTGTGCATTTGTTTTCTTTGCATTTAAAACTTGCTTGTGCTTTTACAGAGCAATCTGTAAAGCACTAAAGGAGCACTGTAGTTTTTCTACTGCTACATGAATAGAGTCAGCTGAACAATACATTAATGTGTCATCTGCATACAAGTACACTTTGCAGTCAGAGGCGGAGGGAGCAAGCTCATTAGTGTATAAATTAAATAAGACTTGACCAAGGATTGAACCTTGTGGGACCCCTTTAGTGACAGGCATCAGATCTGATTTGTAGCTACCCAGTGCCGTTGTTGCCTCAGGGAGGTAGTTTTGGGTCCAGTTTATTGCATTTTTATTAAAACCATTTGTTTATAAGATATTTATAAAAGTAAGTGAATTAGGTATAAATAGGGCAGCAAAGTGCTTCCTTCTGTCTAAGGCCATAAGAAGATCGTTTAGAACAATTGTGGTAGCAGAGATGGTGCTTTGTTTTTTTCCTAAAGCCAGATTGTTGAATCAACAGGACACAGAATTTTCATAAAGGAACAATTTAAGCTGGCTGTTCACTAAAGATTGTAAAATGTTAGCTAAGCATGACCGATTTGAAATCAGTCTGTAATTATTTAAATCTGATGCCTGGCCTCCTTTGCATAGGGGAACAATATGAGCTGTTCTCCAGATGTTGGAAATTCTGCAAGATAAAATGGAAAGATGAAAAATGTATGCAAAATGTTCTACAATAACCAAAGTAGCAAGACGCAAGAAATAGAGGGCCGATCCATCGTCTGCTGTGGCTTTTTGAGTCAGCTTGAGTCATTTGTTCATTAGTGCAGCGGAGTACACTAGGCTTACATCACACAATGACAGCTGGTATTGAATGATAGTGTTCAAGTACAAGTAAATGAGCACAAATATCGGCCCAATACACAATACCACTATCTGTATCGATGCAGCCCACATTTCCAGCTACTGCAAGTGTCTTTATTACGGAGGTGCATCGAATACACTCACATATCAATTATCTTTTAAAATCAAAACCCAGCATAAAATCATTGATTTAGGCTATGCTGAACAGTGCTAACAGGAGAAATATAGAAAAAGCAATAGCAAAGCAGAAAGCTACAGTTACCCTCAAAACAACACATAGTGGTGCGAGAGGAATAGGGCTACAGTTGAAGTTGTCTTTTTATTTGGCAGCTTTTTTGTTTGAATTTCCATTCTGCCTTAAATGTCAGATAAATGTCAGATTAAATAAGTCGCCTCAGTGTAACTGCTACACTATTTATGTTGGAACGGAAAATGGGAAATGTGAATAAGAAGTTAAAACTTTAGCTTTGTTAGTTTCTCAAATCATTTGTCCCGTCGATGTATCGTATACTCTTCCATAGTGAGCACTGATTCAAGCCCAACAGGCAGATGATCAGGGGGATAAAACTTTCCCTGACCCCTAAGAAAAGACGAAAGATTTTGTATTTTTAAATTACACATAGTAAATAAAGTAAAACTGCATACCATTTTCTTACATGTAGACACTGTGTGAAGCTTGACTCCCTCATAACATGCTCATGAATGTCATCACTGAAGTGTTTGCCTGCCGTTTATTGTGTAGCTCAGGTCCTCTGCAGTCACCTTGCGATTAAAAAGGACTCTCTTGAAGTCCTCGTTTTCCTGCTGCTAGGAATGGCGATAAATCATTTTCTCTAATGCAGATTTTTCACCAGTCTCCTGAGATTCTCCTTTTTTTCTGCAGAGGTTCTGTTCAGACACTTTTTTGTTATCAGCTTCCTATGAACTTCTCTCCACTGTCCACTTTTGCTGTACTCTCATTTTTCAACCTTTCTCTGTCTTTAATGGTTGTTTTGTTTTTTTTCTTTGTTTTGTGTAGTGTAGTGTTTTGGTGCTGCTCACACACAAACACTGTTCCCGTAGGAGCCTGTCTGAAGAGGAAGTTTTTGGTCAGAAATAACAATTGATGGTGTTAATTTCACCCAAAAAGGAGAAGAATACACTGACCAGCTGTTTCATTCAGTACACCTACCTTTGATCTACACTCATTGTCGATTTTATCAGCTCCACTTATCATATAAGTGCACTTTGTAGTTCTACGATTACAGACTGCAATCCATCTGTTTTTCTGCAGAATTTGTTAGCCCCCCTTTCACTGTTCTTTACTGGTCAGGACCACCACAGAGCTGGCATTATTTGGGTGGTGAATAATTCTCAGCAGTACAGTGACACTAATGTGGTGGTGGCATGTTTGTGTATGTCACGCTGGTGAGAGTGGATCAGACACAGCAGTGGTGCTGGAGTTTTAAACACTTCACTGTCACTGCTGGAATAGTTCACAAACCAAAAATTTCCAGCTAGCAGCATCCTGTGGTCAGCATCATGTGATGACTAATGAATGACTTGAGGATGAAGTCTCTTGACTTTACTTCTACAAAGTAGAGCAAGAAGGTAGATGTGTCTATGCTTGTGAGTTTGCGGAGTCTTTTTTTCCCTGCTGGTTTGTTTAGGTGGTAGCCCCATTTTGAAAAAAATTCTCAGCAATGTGGTTCCTTGCGATGTGTGGTTGCTTACTTTATATGTCAAATTAGGTGGTTCTTGTCCATGTTAATCATATTGATCATGGATAGAAGTGTTCGCTGGTTTTAACATTCAGTGAAAAATGTTGGGCTTTGTGTCAAATGTGTCAATAAGGTGCGCATGAATAAAATGCTTTACATCAACAAATTTTTAATTTATGTAACACATTTACTTTGTGTGCAGCCGTTTCTCACATTTTATTACAGTGTACCATTTTTTCAGTGTTACTGACTACAGCCATTTTAGAAGTACAAAATTACAGCTACTTTACAGTACAAAGCAAACTTTCACATTATTCATCTGAACTTTTGTCATCTAAATCTAATGGTGTGGTGGATATAGCTAGATGAAGTTGGTGATGGATGGATTCTATTTAATTTGTAATCTGGCACTGAGCAAACAAGGGAGATGTTTTTGGTCTCGTGCTGGATCTGATGAAAAGAAGGGGGAGAGTAGTGTAATCAGTGCGGATGAAGACAGAGAGTGTGTTTTGTGTTCTTTTGGCAGTGTTTCAGCCAGGGCTAACGTCAGAGGATTTAACACAATCTCTAAACACTTCAACTGCTCTCAGAGAGTAATGATTCAGATGTGGAGGCCTGCTCTATGCCAGAGCAAGCTGGATGACCAGCTAGCTGGCGTTTGGAAGCTGATGTAAGGTACAGACAGAGGAATAAGTGTTTTTATTTTTATCATTTGAAGTTTTTTTAAGCTTTAAACCAGTGCTGGAAAATACAATTGTGTTTTATTGTTTACTTACTTAAAAAAAAAAAGCAAGCTGTACTTAATTTATTGCCCTCAGTAGCTACACTTGTGTGTATGTATATTCATATGTATATATGTATGTATGTATGTATATATATATATATATATATATATATATATATATATATATATATATATATATTTATTATTTATTTAACTAGATCAAGCCATGGTACAGCTCTTGTCTCTTGACACAATGAAGCTTTCATGCAACGGATGGCAGGTTGTGCAATGCCTGCAACATAAGTTACATACAGCAATTCAAAAACAAAGCTGTATGCAACACATTTACGTACTCAACATTAGCAGCTCATATTTTTTGACACGCAATATTGTTCTCACTATGAAC